TGAAACAACACCTTGGAAAACTTACATTAAAATAATAGAAGCTATGGTTACAAAGTAATGGGAACTACCTTGAAGTTTTTTGTTTGTTTTTTTTAAGATAGTAATATTATTTTATTAATTACTAATCTATATCATATACCTTGAAGTTTTAATGAATAAGAGGTTTTGCTTTAAAATGATTTCACAGTAAGGTCGTACTGTTGGTATGGAACTTAGTTCCATAGAGAACAAAAATTAAGACCCCTATAAATCATATTTTAGGTCAACAATTTTCAAGCTTTTTGTCTCAAGACTCTTTCACAATCTTACAAATTATTAAAAGTAATTAAAATCATTATTAAATCATAATTATTATTATTATTGCTCTGGTTGGTTTGGCTTAGTGGATTAAGCGCTGGCCTGAAGACGAAACGGTTGCTTGTTTGATTCCCAGTCAGGGCATATGCCTGGGTTGCTTTCCAGGTCCCTGGTTAGGGATGTGAGAGAGGCAAGTGATCACAGTTTCTCTCACACATCATGTTTCTCTCTTTCTCCCTCCTTTCTCCCTCCTTTTCCCTCTCTCTAAAAATGAATAAATAAAATCTTTAAAAAATAAAAACCTTAAATTTAAAAAGTTAATCTATATCTTGAATATTTCGTACTTATATCTATATATTTGCAGTATTACAAATTAAGTGGAGAAATGAAAATGTTTATTAAAAATAGTAATGACATGTTAACATATATAATGTATTTTATAAAAAACAAAACCATACTTCTGGCCAAGATGGAGGTGTAGGTAGACACACAGTGCCTCCTCACACAACCAAAAAAAGAACAACAACAATTTAAAATAAAAAAACAACAAGAACTGACAGAAAATTGAACTGTATGGAAGTCCAACAACCAAGGAGTTAAAGAAGACACACTCCTTCAGACTGGTAGGAGGGGTGGAGACGGGAGCTCAGAAGACTCTCGGCAAGGTGGTGGTTGACAGACCCAGCACCAGATTGGATCAGGGCGTGCAAGACTGTAGCTGGCCAGCGAGACTGCAGTGGCTTCGGCTGGTGGAGTGGGTGGTCCCACATTTGAGCTCAGATAAACTGGGAGGAACAACTGGGGAGCAAGACACACTGTGCAACTCAGAGCTCCAGAGCGGGGAAATAAAGCCTCAAATCACTGATTGAAAACACCTGTGGGGGTTGCGGCTGTGGCTGGAGAAACTCCCAGCCTCACAGGAGAGTTCGTTGGAGAGACCCACAAGGTCCTAGAATGTACACAAGCCCACCCACCCAGGAATCAGCACCAGAAGGGCCCACTTTACTTGTGGGAAGTGGGGCAAGTGACTGAAAGCTAGCAGAGAGTAGAGCAAGCACCATTGTTCCCTCTTGGACCCCTTTGCCACATACAGCATCACAATGAAGCTACGTGGGTTTCCCTGCCCTCGTGAACACCTAAGGCCCTCAAATGTAATGGGCCCGTCAAGACAAAAAAAAAATGCCCAAACGAAAGAACAGATCAAAGCTCCAGAAAAAAATACAACTAAGCGACGAAGAGAGCCAACCTATCAGATGCACAGTTGAAAGCACTGGTTATCAGGATGCTCACAGACTTGGTTGAATTTGATCACAAATTAGATGAAAAAAATGAAGGCTATGCTAAGTGAAATAAAAGAAAATGCACAGGGAACCAATAGTGATGGGAAGGAAATTGGGACTCAAATCAATGGAGTAGACCAAAAGGAAGAAAGGAACAACCAAATAGAAAAGAATGAAGAAACAAGAATTCAAATATAAGGAGAGGCTTAGGAACCTCCAGGAAACGTTTAAACATTCCAACATCCAAGTTATAGGGGTACCAGAAGGGGAAGAGGAAGAGCAACAAGTGGAAAAGTTATTTGAACAAATAATAAAGGACAACTTCCCCAATCTGGCAAAGGAAATAGACTTCCAGGAAGTCCAGGAAGCTCAGCGAGTCCCAAAGAAGCTGGACCCAAGGAGGAACACACCAAGACACATCATAATTACATTAGCCAAGATAAAAATGAAGGAGAGAATCCTAGAAGCAGCAAGAGATAAGGAGACAGTAACCTATAAAGGAGTTCCCATCACACTGTCAGTTGACTTCTCAAAAGAAACCCTGCAGGCAAGAACAGGTTTGAAAGAAGTATTCCAAGTCATGAAAGGCAAGGACCTACATCCAAGATTGCTCTATCCAGCAAAGCTTTCATTTAGAATGGAAGGGCAGATAAAGTGCTTCTCAGATAAGATCAAGTTAAAGGAGTTCATCATCACCAAGCCCTTATTATATGAAATGTTGAAGGGACTTATCTAAGAAAAAGAAGATAAAAATATGAACAGTAAAATGACAGCAAACTCACAATTATTAACAACCACACCTAAAACAAAAACAAAAACAAACTAAGCAAACAACTAGAGTGGAACAGGACCACAGAAATGGAGATCACATGGAGGGTTATCAATAGGGGAGTGGGAGGGGGAAAGAGGGGGAAAAGGTACAGAGAATAAGTAGCATCGATGGTAGGTAGAAAATGGACAGGGGGAGGGTAAGAACAGTATAGGAAATGTGGAAGCCAAAGAACTTATATGACCCATGGACATGAACTAAAGCGGGGGAATGTGGGTGGGTGTGCAGGATGGAGGGGAGTGAAGGGGGGAAAATGGGGCAACTGTAATAGCATAATCAATAAAATATATTTAAAAAACAAAAACCAAAACAAAAAATAGAGAGAAAGGTGGCATTGTTTTAGATTTTTGCAAATCTCTTTAATGCTTGGCTTAGTGGAAGACATCTGAAATCTCATATGTGCTTTTGTGTTCAATTTATTGTGCTATCTATATTGTTTTGGTTGAAGTATATTGAGGAGATGTAGCTTCACATAGACGTATAGTCAGAAAAGTGACTAAATTTTCAGATAATTATAGGTATTCCTCTTCACAGTAGTAGTCATTGCAATGTACAATCAGAAACTATATTAATGAACTTTTCATATTCTGTGAAAATCTATTGGTCTAACATATTTTAAATGGATGTTTCACACATGCTTGATTTTGTAACATTGTGTATTAGTCATTTGAAAATATTTGTTCACTGAATTATGCAAAGATTCAATATCTTGACACATTTTATTATACAAAATCTATTTGTTACTAAATTTTCTTCTGTAGAAAAGCCTCAAGAATTAGTAAGCTGTTAAGTTCACAGTCGTAGATATATGTTTTCTAAAATAATTTTATTTGAAAGATTTAATTTTATCATGACAAGAAATATTGCTGGCAGTTTTCCTTGAAAGGAAGGGCTGACTTCTTTTTCAAGAAATGTCTGTTAAATACCCAAATCTGAATGACCGTAAGTTTGTCAGTTGTTCTTTAAAGCAAAAATGCATATACTCAATAGTTAAACTTTAATAAAATGAATGTTCCCAACTTAATCAAGGACATTCTTAAGTGAAACAGGCAATTTTTTTTCCTACTCAAATGCATGGTAGTGAAGAATAATGACTAGTAGAGTTTGGTGCCATTGCTCTTGATTTGTGCTAAAGCCCCAGAAGTTGTACTTACTATTGATTTTACAGTAGTAAAAAAGTAAGTAATGGTATTTTTATAAAGAGCTCTGACTTTGCAGACGACTGAAAGGGTCCTGGGGATTCCCAAAGGGCCATGGACTACGTCTTTGAGACCAGCTATGGTAGGTATTAGGATAAACAATATAAAAACAATGACTCCTATCCTCAATTTCATCTTCTAATAGAGGAAAGCTATGGAGATGATTACAACATAGCTTTAGTGATACAAGAAATAGCAGCAGTGGGGAGAACAGATCAAAGACAAGCATGGACATGGAGCCTAGGTAGGATAGTGTAGCTAGCAGCAAGAGGACGTGAAGAAACGTTTAAATGGGTGTGATAGCACCTGGTGACTGATGAGATAGATGGGAGGCATGAAGCAACGAGGTAAACAGTGATCACAGGAGGGGAAACTTGAAAGAGCCTGGGAGGGGATAATGGGTGTAGTTTTGGATTTACTGACCAGGAGATGAATGTTAGATCCCCGGAAGAGGGTGTCCAGCAGGCAATTGGCTATTGCTGCTCTTTCCCTGAGGAAATTCCCTTGCAATTTTCCCATTCGCTGCTGTATCCCCAGTACCTAGCATAATATCTAGCTCTCAGTGTTGACTGAGTAAATCAATACATCTGGCTGTGAGCTCGTGATAGTAATCTGGAAGGGGGATTGAACTTGGTAGTCATTTTATACTCATGCTTATTTGAAACCACAGGAGCGGATGAGATCTGGTAGCAGGATTAACTCCCACTAAATGGCCAGAATAAGTAGGAATTGTTGGCTCAAATAGGTTACAACAGCATATTTTGTTTTATGTTATGTTAGTATAACATAAAAATTTATTTTGGAAAGCTTGTTTCTGTATAACCCAGCAGAGCTAATAACCAAGATCTGCTATCTTTATGGCCATACATTAATACCTGTCAGACTTGCTTTCATTGGGGTTTGGGGGCTGACCTCATTGTCCTACACTTGTGTGGGCGTCTTTCACAATCTTCCTTTAGGCGTCTACTTGGGGTTGTCTTCCTGAGACTACAAGAGCTGACTCTGGAGCTGGGTCAGGTGTGACCGTCCCAGCGCCCAGGCAGGGGGCGGCGCTCAAGCCACCCGCCCCACTGACGCGCGATAGACTGAGATCACCTCACACTCCCGTGGAGCAATCAGAGACCGCGCCACTGTCTGGTGGACAACCGCAATGCTCGTTCTGAAATCCCTCCGCCAAGCTCTTCCAGAGTAGTGCCCTGGCACCCCTCAGCTTGAGCACACAGAGGATGATGTCTTAAACTCACCTTCTACTCCGTCTCTGTACCACCTATGCCATAGATGCAGGCTGTTTTTTAAGGCCCTCAATCCAGGCGTAAGGAGACCTCGGCGTTATAGAGTCCCAATGGGGGCGTGGCCAGGGGATGATCCCGCCCCTTTCTGTGACGCACCGGGTGGTGCGCGCAGCGGCCGGGAGTAGGGGGTGGGGCTGAGTCTTGTGAGAGACCTAGGGGCAGGGGCCGCCTCCGAACACCCCTCTGCCGGCTTCTCCCGCACGGTCTGTTCGGAGGACCGGTGGCGACCTCGGCCTCCAGCATCTAAGGCAGACTGAAGCGGCGGCGGCGGCCAGGATGGCGTTGCTGGGCTTACTGCAGGCGGGAGGGTCAGTGCTGGGGCAGGCGATGGAGCAAGTGACGGGCGGCAGCCTGCTATCCATGCTACTGATTTCCTGCGCCTTCACGCTGAGCCTGGTCTACCTGCTTCGCTTTGCCATCGGCCACCTTGCGCCCTTGCCGGCCGGGGCGGTACGTGCACTCCCGGGGTCCTGGGAGGGGTACACGGGGACACTGGAGGCGGAAGGGCTAGCGGGGGCGGCGACTGCAGCTGTGCTCACCTGAGCGTTGGCGGTGGGCGTATAGGTTTAGGGGTAGCCGCCACTCACCTAGCCCTACTGGCCTTGGTGGTCGCCGCGTGTCTGGTCCTGGCCGGGGTCGTGCTTGCTGCTTTTGTGGTCACAGTAATTCTGTTGGCCGCGGAACCCGTGGTCCTAATGGTGTGGCGCTGAGTGCTCTAGTAGCCGGATTGGGCCTCATAGGAGTATTGCGGGTCTGGTGGGGGTCCAGGTGGCCATGCTTTTGGCAGCTGTAGCCCTGGTGGCCGTCATCCTGGGAACTGCCCTTGTGTGGTTCAGTGTCCTGTGGGCTGTGGCATTGCCCTTGATGGCAATTTATAAGAAGGGATGTGTTCAGTTTGGTAGAGTGAGAGTGACTGGAGTGCTGTAGGGACCTTCCTATGATGCTAATAAAAGCAGTTTCTGAAATTTAGTGGCTTTATTGACCACTGGCGTCATACTTCTGTATTTGATAAATGCATCCTTAATCAGCCAACAACTAGTTTGAACCATAACAGGCAGTTAATATCATTATTTTTCCTGCACGTGGGATTTTTGAGGAAGTGGTATTTATCTTCGGAAAGAAAGGTAGCTTCAGTACTTAAGATTGCTGTTACGGTTATCTGAAGAGTGAGCTTGTAGTGTTCCTTACTATTTTTAGACCACCGAAGATCTGAGGAGTCTTACGCTTTTTCATCATTGAAAGTTTGATTTCCAGGAGACTTAATGTTGTAATTTATAAGTCTCATTTTGGGGCATCTAAAGTACCTTTCATAGTGAATGCCCAAGAGTTCCTGCTGGAGTGGATCTGCTCTGTCTTTAAAATCAGTGGTTGTAGTTCATTTGCAGTGAGAGAAGTGTGAGATGTGTTCTGTTTGCTGATAAATGTCACTTCTTTTACATATCCCTTATATCTGTACCTCAAGTTACTGTTTGTCTTTTTCTATACTTAAAATTTTATTATTTATTTTCAGAAACAGAAGGGAGGGAGAAAGAGAGGGAGAGACACATTGATCAGTTTCCTCTTGTATCCTACTGGGGCCCTGGCGGGCAGCCCAGGCATGTGCCCTGACTTGGAATAGAACTGGCTACCTTTTGGTTCACAGGCCTGTGCTCAATCCACTAAGCCGCATCAGCCAGGGCTTTTTCTATATTTTCTTATGGCAAGACTCTGGGACTAAAATTGTGAGTGGTAGTGGGAATAAGAAGTGAAGAAACTCCAGTTTGATTTTTCTGTTGGTTTTATTTTTGTTTTTTGTTTTGCTATTTGTGATTGGGAAAGTTGCCTAGAGCCACCAGTAATAGTATTGGACATATTCTGGATAGTGTTCAGCATTTATAATGGCAATGCCTTTGTGTTTGTCTAGTCATTTATCTTATACCATGGTTTGAGTTTCTCTTCTTTTTACTGTAGATGCTCTCCTAAGATATTTGCATTTTGGCTTTTCTTTATTACTTTGAAGCTCCATTTTTGGATAAATTTTTCATATTAATAGCAAATTTCATTTGTTTGGTCATGAAACTGAATGGGATTTCTTTCTCTCTCTTTTTCAAAGATTTTGTTTATTTATTCTTAGAGAGAGGGCATGGGAGGGAGAAAGAGTGGGAGATAAACATCGATGTGAGAGAGGAACATTGATTGGTTGCCTCTCATACTGCCCCATGGTGGGACTGAACCCACAGTGCAGGCGTGTGCCCTAACTGGGAATTGAACCAGCGACCTTTTGCTTTGCAGGCCAATGCCCAACCAACTGAGCCACACCAATCAGAGTTGGATTTTTCTCTCAAAATAAAATGTGAACTAAAAGTTTTTTGTTTTCTCTTGCAGAAAACTCCACCATACATTTTCTCTCCAATTCCATTCCTTGGGCATGCCATAGCATTTGGGAAAAGTCCAATTGAATTCCTAGAAAATGCATATGAGAAGGTAAGTCTTCCAAATAATTAGAGAAAAAGAAACTAGTGCTTTTGAAACTTTTACATGGCAGAACACTAAGAAAAAGTTGTGATAGTAATCTTATCCCAGGGATAGGAAAATTGGAGCTGCTCCTGTGTAAGAGCTGGAGGGGCCCTTTTAATTTCTCCCACATCCTGGGAGTGATCGCTGAGATACCATTGAGGAAACTTACAGTTCTAGCAACTATGGTTTGAAAACCACTGGCATAAATTTTGTATTCACTGATCACAATTTAAATTAATACTAATTGACCCTTCTTTTTCTTAACCATGCATCTGTGGAATTTTCTAACCTGCACTATACACATCTTCTATAACTTCACTTCTACTTGAATGACCCACACAACACTATGGCCACTCAGATATTTGTGTTCCTCTCCAGTGAGCTGACTCCTACCATTTCAGCCATTTACTCCCTGTTCCCACTTAGAACTTGTCATCATTTTTAACTATTTTACCTCCACAGTGTGAATTTAGAGATCCTGTTCTTAGACTGCACCTTCTTTTCCTGGAGTTGCCTGTGCAGCTCCTTCTGCTATAACCATTTGTTGACCTCAGTAGATCTTCCTGTCTGTTGTTCCATTTATTTTGTCCTGGTAGATCAGCCTTCTTTCTTTACTTTCCTTCTTTTTCCAGTTTGGACCATGGTTCATCATTGGAGTATACTCTTGCCAGTACTTTATTATCCTTGCCCCCGGATCTTTTCATTATGTTTATCTGATAAAACCCCAACCTTGGAGGGAGCCTGTTAGTCATTTTTCTCCTTCCTTGCACCAGATTAATTCCTTCCTAATTTCATGATTGCCTGCCTACCTTAAATGACTTTTGAACACTGCTCAACAATCCTATTATGTTTTTGTGGTTGGCTTACTTTCCCACTTTCCACAGTGACTAATTCAAATCTTTACTTTTATAAATTTCTGAATCTTCCTACTTTTCTATCGAAGCAGGTAACTTTGTGTCCCCTTTAAAAAGAAATTAAAAACCATCAATGGGAACTATCTCATGTTCCCAATTTCAAACATACAAACCTATTTATGGCTATATAATCCTATTCTCTTTTCTTCTTATTATATTAATAATTATAAAACACTTAACTTTGTACCAGTACTTAGTGCTTTATATAGATTATCTCATTGAAGTCCAACAAATATCTTCAGGTATATTCATTATATAGGTGATAAAATTGAGAAACAGGTTATATAATCGTTCTGAAGCTCCCTGCTAGCCAGTGGCCAAGCTAGGATTTACATATGGTTTGATTTCCAAGTCAATGCTTTTAGTCATAATAATAATAAAAGAAATATGTATAATTTTATTCTGGCCAAGGTACTCTAATATATATATGTGCATATATATATATTTTTTCTAATATGTAATATATGCATATAATACATACATATTATATATATACACTCTAATTTATATAATGTTCTCTAACATATCTGTGTTAATTTATTTAACCTTGACAACAGTTTTGTGAAGTATTTGCTGTTACTCTCATTTTATAAATGAGGGAAACTGAAGCACATTGTTGGTAAGAAAGTGGTAAAACTAATAACTAAATAAAGTTCTGGTGTCTTCACATAGCAAACACTTTAGGGAAGGTCATATCCTTTAGCTACTCCTGTAAATTTATCTTTAACCAATGGGAAGAAAAATCTGTATTCTTAGCTATTCCTTAGAATATAAAGGAATGTCTAGACCCATTATTAGACATTATTAGACCCATGTCTAATAATGAAAGAATATTTAATTATTAACATTATGATGTCTGTGTGTAAGATAGAAAATATTTTCAATATAAACTGAAAAAAGCAGAAAAGAAAATTTGATTTACATTTCATTTGCAACAGGATGATCATAATTATAAATTTGGACAAAGACTGGGGATGAATTGCATTAAGGTTTATGAGTGTTTTCATTTTCAACAATGTGTTATTTTGCGATTTAAGAAATTAGTGTCTTAGTGCTATATATTTTTTGGTAACATCAATATGGGTACTTTTTTCTTTTTAGTATGGACCTGTGTTTAGTTTTACAATGGTGGGCAAGACATTTACTTATCTTCTGGGGAGTGATGCCGCAGCACTGCTTTTTAATAGTAAAAATGAAGACCTGAATGCAGAAGATGTCTACAGTCGGCTGACCACACCTGTGTTTGGGAAGGGAGTTGTGTATGATGTGCCTAATCCAGTAGGTGACACTGTTATTTTCAAGACAGATAAGCCTAATCTTTAAAGGCTATAGCTAGTAGTGTAATAGTATATATTTAAAATGTAGAAACAGTTTATTTCCTGGTTCAAAAATCTGAGAATCAAGAGACATTTAAAAGGAAAGCCATGAGTAACTGACAAACAATGTGTATTTTGTTTTACAGTGGTTGGTATGGGCTAAGCAATTTTAAAGGTTGTCCTATACAAAGAAATGGAATCAGTGATGACTTAGATTACTGGGATTTGATTTGAGAGGGTAACAAGAAAATCCCATTATAGGACCGCCTACCTGCCTACTCCTGCCTGAAATTCTAGCATAAGAGCTCTTTTGAGCTAGAGATATTTGACTTTAGAAGTTTGTGTGACTTCTTTTCCCTGCCAAAGTCAAATATTAAAGTGCTGCAAGTTGATGTAAAACATATTCAGATAATTGGCCTAGTTGCTTAGTGTGTGCTCTGGCTGTGAATGTATCACATACTACCTAGTACCCTAGTGTCTAGTAGTTAAGAGAGTTGACATTAGGTGTTGTTTCTGGGGATGGGAGAGTTGTGGGGAAATGATGGCTCTCCTTAAGGCCAAAAGAGCCCTAGAAAACCCTCTGATTAAACCTCTGGCAGATCGTGTCAGTGAGGAATGACATTTTTTGGGGAATAGAACAGGAGAATATGTGAAGGAACATTAAAATATTGAAACATAATGGACCTTTGGGAGAGTGCACTGGCATCTGGGTTGGGTTGGAAGGGCAGAAAATACCAAAATAGGAAAAGGGAGCCCTAGAGTCAGAAGTGGGAAAAGGGTGTATAGGAAGGAAGCCAGGAAGTGAGATTCCTAATTTATCATTTGTTTAGGACCTGTGTAACAGCTGTCTTCTATATGTTACTTCAGATACGTACATAAATGCTCTAAGTTTCCCATACCTAGTGTAGTTTTTAAAAATCTTTGTACTATTTTTATTTTCAATTTTAGAGGTTATTTTGAGTGTTATAATGCAAATAGATCTTTTTTAAATATATATTTTTAGACTTTATTCATTTTTAGAGAGAAGAAGGGAGGGAGAAAGGGAAGCATTAATATATGGTTGCCTCTTGAGTGCTCCCTACTGGGGACCTGGCCTACAACCCAGGCATATGCCTTGACTGAGAATTGAACCAGTGACTCTTTGGTTCACAGGCTGGTTGGTGCTCAATTCACTAAGCCACATCAGCCAGGGTGAAATTTTTTAAAATTTGTATTTATTTGATAAAGACTGAGACATCAACTTGTTCCACTTATTTATGCATTCATTGGTTGGTTTTTGTATGTGCCCTGATTGGGGATCAAACCAGCAACCTGGGCACATTGGGATGACGCTCTAACCAACTGAGCTACTCAATCAGAGCCCAAAATGGATCTTGGATCTTTTTTTTAAAATTACTTTATTGTTGTTCAGTTACAATTGTCTGTGTTTTCCCCCCACCAATCCCCCCTGGATCTTGGATCTTGTGATAAAACAAAATTGTGTTTTAATGTTGTATGCCTTTAATTTTTTTAAGGTTTTCTTGGAGCAGAAGAAAATGTTAAAAAGTAGCCTTAACGTAGCCTACTTTAGACAGCACGTTTCTATAATTGAAACTGAAACAAAGGAATACTTTCAGAGTTGGGGCGAAAGTGGAGAAAGAAGTAAGTAAAATGTTTTGATTTTGCATTTGTCCTAATATTTCTACTTTTCTATAACTAGAAATGTAAGAATGTTTGTACATGTGTGAAAAACAAACTATAACAATGTAAAACCATCTTAGATTTAATGGGAAGAACATGATATGATTATCATGGAATTAAAAAGACCTGAGAGGAAGTGATTTTTGCTGCTCACTAGCAAAACCTTAAAATGGATTAATTGGCATGTATATTATTCAGCTTATTTGTACAAATAAAATAAAATGGTTCATGATTAGATTTTTAAATAAACAATGTAAAACTTTTGCAAGTTCATTTTAGGATAAATAAAATAATTTTTTACCCCCAATGGGCAAGTAAAAGTCTAAACGATTTAATTATATATATAATACCATATTTATCTAATATTGTATGGGAATGCTTTATTCTATAAAAAAAGCAGATTTAAATACATAGGATTACTTTACCTTTACTAAAAGTTTGACTTTAGCTCTTTCCAGTATAAATCTTTTAAAATGGATTGTAAGCAATCTTGCATTATGGAGTGCACTCAATGTTTGGTTATTTCTGGGCATCTGGTCTTTATATTGGACTGCAGGAAGTGTGGCCTCCAGAGATAATTGTCACACTCATGCAGGAGGCAACATCTGCCTGTGGGGCCATGAGACCTCTGTGTAGGTCACCATGTTCTGGATCTAGAAAAGGTTCTAGAAAGCTTTGGTTCTAGAAAAGATTTTAGAATAAAAAACTTGATTAAAAAAAAATACACCTGAGGTTGATGGGATCTATTTCTAACCATACAAGAAGCTGGTGTGTACAAGAACACTAAGTTAGTGAATACAAGTGAGACATAATTATAGCACCAAGAATACCAGAGTATTTGCTAAACTTCATTTTGTTGGCAAATTTAACTGGAAAGCCAGATGATAATTGGAATTTCATTTGATGAGCATGGAATTAAAGAACATGGCATTGATTGGATAATTTTTATGACTTAAGTGTCATCCAGATGATGCCTGCCTGATGAATCTGTCCCTGTGTTGGGCTGTATGAATTAATGATTAGTTACAGTTTTCTCTTATGTGTGTGTGTGTGTGTATATATATATATATATATATATATATATATATATGGTCAGGACTTCCATTTTTAGTTCTGACCTTCCCGCTTTTGACCTGGGGAATAATCCCTTCTTTAGTTTTTAGATTGCTATTCCTTGGAAAGCATCTCTTTATTGTCCTCATATGCACTAAATAACTTTTTGCTGCTTTTGTTATACTGTGACCTTGGACTGAGACACCAATATTCATTTTTATCTTTATCTTTTCAAGGTGAGACACCAATATTCATTTTTATCTTTATCTTTTCATTTTTATCTTTATCTTATCTTAAACCTCACTCATGAGTGAGGTTTAGAGATGCCCTTGTGGCATTGGTTTTGGCTGTCCGGCGGGGTGGGGTTGGTGGGCTGCTTTCTTCCCATCATTTGGTATCTTGCCTCTCTGTTTGGCTGAGTGGGGTAGTCACGCATCTGTCTGTAAGCTTTTTTTGATGGTACGACTAGGGCCGTGTTGGTCCTTGAGTTAAGTTTTCATTCTTACTTTTACTTCACAGTTTTATATCTCTATGAAAACAGAACATTTTCAAAACAATTTTTGGTAATATTAATGGGAATGACCTTTTTCCCCTCTAGATTTGTTTGAAGCTCTTTCTGAGCTCATAATTTTAACAGCCAGCCATTGCTTACATGGAAAGGAAATCAGAAGTCAACTCAATGAGAAGGTGGCACAACTGTATGCAGATTTGGATGGCGGTTTTAGCCATGCAGCTTGGCTGTTGCCGGGCTGGCTCCCTTTGCCTAGTTTCAGGTATGATAAAGAAACTGCCCTCGGTGATTTAACTTTGTATAGTTACTACGGTGTTGGTATGCTTTGTGTTAACGGAGATAAAGATTAAACAACTGAAGTACAAATTGGCAGTTACAAAATAGTCACAGGGTAATTAATGTAGTACAGCATAGGGAATATACTGTATTTTTCAGACAATAAGATGCACTTTTTTACCACATTTTTTGCTTCAAAATTTTTTTTCCTATTTTCCGCCTGTAAAACCTGGGTGCGTCATATGGTGAGGACCCCAGATACACCTAGGTTTTAGAGGAGGAAAATAGGGGAAAAAATTTTGAAGCAAAAAATGTGGTAAAAAAATGCATCTTATAGTCCAAAGAATAAGGTAGTCAATAATGTAATAATTATGTTTGGTGCCAGCTGGTATACAAATACATCATGACTATACTGTATGCCTGAAACTAATATAATATTGAATGTCAAGTGTAATTGAAAAATTTTTTAAATTAAATATTAAGCAAATAGATTTGGGGAGATTATGAGCCCCCCGTTCTTTTATAAGAATTCAAGACAGGTTTTCTTTATATAGTGAGCTCATTTTAAGGTCAGTTTCAGCTTATTATAAAGGTAATTTGTTGTCTTTCTGTTCTAATATTTTATAACCTACTATTTAAACTCTGTCAAAGAACTCAGACGCATTCTTTGTACTCAGGAAAGTCTCTAAACTCTACTGAAATGTGATATGGTCCTACGAGCACTTGTTTGAGAGCATTTGACTATTTTGTAATATATTCTGAATTTTTTTTGTTTGAAGTATTAATGCTTTTCTTTAATTTTCTCTTTGTGTCCTTGTCAACTGCAGTGTGATCACCTAAATGGTGGGGACCATCTGTGACACAAAGAAATACTGCTTGTAAGACTTGGTGTATGGCTTAGTGCCTTGCATATTAGTAGGCTTTCTGTACTTTTATTGATTCTTTTGTGCTCAGATGAGAGATGGAGAAGAGTGGAGTTGTTACTTTTCCTTTTGTGTCTGCCACCTCTATGTCCTGACAGAATGAAGAGGGGTGGGAGTAGAAGGGAAAGCTAGGTGAGGGTCTTGAGTATTTGGAACTCATAATACCTTACATTTGTAGGGAGCTTTGCAGTTTTCCAGATACTTTTGTCCATGTTATGTTAGAATATCCAGCACAGCTCTGGACCTGGGGTAGGTTCTCCATGAATGTGCTTGCAGCCTATTTCCACCTTCCCTGTCTCCTGGATGGAGTCAGAAATTCCTGTGCTTGGTATGATAGGCCCTTCACCAGTCTCGCCAGCCCAGTCTCTCTCTGTCTTACCTGGTTCAACTGATCAACCAAATTGGTCCATTCATTTTCTTAAACAGGCTTTACGTTTTCATGGCTCTGATATGTTCATACTGTTAAATTTCAGCCTCCTCTTCCCTTCTGCCTCTATTATCCTCTGTAACAGTCTTAAAAATGAAGCAAGGTGGGAATTGTTCATTAGAAGGCTTGATTAAGACGGAGGCAAGGGAGTCAGAGTGCCTGGTTTCAAATTTTGGCTCCCTTGTGAGCTGGCTGTGAAGTGAGGATAAAAGCTTTTACCTCACAGGAGGTCAAAGTAGGTAATTCATGTAAAACACAGTACCCATTACCTAGTGAGCACCCTCTTTCAAAGGTAAAATTTTGGGAGTTGAAGTTTGTTTTCTGATTGTATTAGTATTTTTAACCCCTATAGAACTTTGATGTCTCAGAAAATGAACAGTAGAATCAAATCCTGTATGCTGTAGCCATGTTCTAAATCTTAGAAGAACCAGAGTGACTGTCCATCTGCTTCAAGAATTAATTTCATTAAAATTGGAATTTTGTGTTAACCTAAAAAGCATAGTGCTCTCTGTTAAAATGATTCTAAAGGAAGATTCATCTGAGTCTTGTTTTAGACCTGTAGTGAGATCACAGACCTATGTTAAGGATCAGGTATCTACATATTAAAACACAGTTTTTGCCCTGAGGGACCCAAGAAATTCCTAAAAATAGGTGGTTTTCATGGTATCTTTTTTTCCTCTGGGTTCGCAGTTCTGTCAATTATTTTAGAGTCATTTGTTAGATAAGATTGCTTTAAGCTAGGTCCTGGTTATTTCCAAAAGGAATTTGATGCCAGAAAAAATTGCTTTATTTTTGAAGTTATTTTCATCTTTGAATTACAGACGCAGAGACAGAGCTCATCGAGAGATCAAGAATATTTTTTATAAGGCAATCCAGAAACGCAGACAGTCAGAAGAAAAAATTGATGACATTCTCCAAACTTTACTAGATTCTACTTACAAGTAAGAGCTGTTCAGTTTACATATGAAGCTGAAGCAGGAGATTACACATTAAAACCTAGTTAAATACTGTCTCCTGTTAAAAAGTAGTGATGCTGGCAGAATTAGTAACTGTGACCTTTGGACTTCTTAAACAGATGAGACGTAAATTACTGGGATCCGGTATCTCACTGGCATCCCAGAGATTGCACGTGGTGAAAAGTCTGCTAGGAAACTGCAATGAAGTCTTTTGTATTCAAAATCCTGTTTTCTACTGGTTGCCTCTTTTTCCCTGATGGGAAAATGCAGGAGAGTGTTATACCTGAAACATTAATTCATTATGACCCTTTATTTAAAGGTTGAGGTGTGAAACGCATCTACCAATGACTGTGTTAACCTTGTGTGTGTGGTGCATTCCCCAGGGATGGGCGCCCCCTGATGGATGACGAGGTGGCGGGCATGCTCATCGCACTGCTCTTGGCTGGGCAGCACACGTCCTCGACCACCAGTGCCTGGATGGGCTTCTTTTTGGCCAGAGACAAGACACTTCAAGAAAAATGTTATTTAGAACAGAAAACAGTCTGTGGAGAGAATCTGCCTCCTTTAACATATGACCAGGTTTGTTGGATTTTCATTTAAATTGCTGCCTTATCTAAGAGTATCTGTGGCTTAATTTTAAAAGGAACAACTTGAGCAGCGAAAGCAAAAGTATACATGGTACATCACACTAAAAAGATTTTGCACAGTGAAGGAAACCCTTAATAAAACGAAAAAACAACCTACTGAATGGCAGAAGGTATTTGCAAATGATATATCCAACAAAGCATTAATATACACAGTTTATAAGTTCATACAACTTAACACCAAAAAAACAAGCAATCTGATTAAAAATATGGGTAGAGGACCTGAGTAGATACTTCTCCAAAGAGGATATACACGTGACCAAGACATATGAAGAGATGCTCACCATCACTACCATCAGGGAAATGTAGCTCAAAACCATAATGATAGATGTATCACCTCACACCTGTCACAATGGCTATCGTCAAAAAACCAATCCCTAAATTAGATGAATTTAGATGAAATAAGTGCTGGTAAGGATGTGGGGAAAAGGGAACCCTCATGCACTGTTGGTGGGATTGTAAATTGGCATAGCCACTATGGAAATCAATGTGACGGTACCTCAAAAATTAAGACTGGAACTGCCGTGACTCAGCAGTACCACCTCTGGGTATTTATCTGAAGAAAACAAAAACACTAATTCAAAAAGATACGTGCACCCCCATGTTTACTACAGCATTATTTATAATAGCCAAGATATGGGAGCAACCTAGATATCTATCAATATTTAAATAAAGATGATTTGAGATACATACACACACACATACATACACATAATAGAATATTACTCAGCAATAAAAAAAAGAATGAAATCTTGTAGTTTGTGAGAAATGGGTATTTGATGGCCCCAGAGGATACAATGCTAGGTGAAATAAGTCTGGCAGAGAATGACAAATACTGTGTGATCGATCTCACTTATATTGGAATCTGAAAAAACAAATGAATAAACAAAATAAACAGACCCATAGGTAACAGACAGCAAGGTGATGGTTACCAAAGAGGAGGGGGTGGGAATGGGTGAAAAGAATTAAAAATATATAAAAATGAAGGGGACAATTTGAAATTTTCTGTGTACTATAGCTTAATTTGACTAGCTTTTTTTTTTTTTTTTTTTTTAAATTCCCCATAGTCCTTGCTAAAATGTCCTAATGCTGGATTTGGTTTGCTATATTTTGTTAAGGATTTTTGCATCTATGTTTATGAGGAATATTGATCAGTAGTTTTAATGTGATATCATCTTTGATAGGTTTGGTATCAGAGTAATACACATCTCTTATGAGTTTGGAAGTGTTCCCTTCTCTTTCATTTTTGGAAGAGTTTGAGAAGGGTTGGTGGTAATTCTTTCTGACATATCTAATAGAGTTCCCCAGAGAAGTCATCTGTGTCTGTTTTTCTTTGTGGAAAGTTTCTGGTTACTACTTTGGTGTCTGACTTGTTACGGGCTTACTCATATGTTCTTTTTGAGTCAGTTTTAGTAGCTTGATACATAATTCATATACCGTAAAATCCATTCATTTAAAGTATACAGTTTACTGGTTTTTAAATGTATTCATAGTTGTGAATCATCTCAATTTTAGAACATATACATCACTTCCAAAAGCGAGCCAGTACGCGTGTCAGTAGTCACTCCCCATTTTCCTGTGCCAGGCCCCCGGTAACTGCTCATGTGCTCTTTGTCTTTGTGGATTTGCCTTTTTTGGGCATTTCGTACCTATAAATGACCACATTCACATGATATGTGGTCTTTTGTGACTGGCTTCTTTCATTTAGTGTGTTTTCAAGGTTAATCTGTGTTGTGGGATGTATGAGTACTTCAGTCTTTTTTATTGCCTAGTAACAGCCCATCATCTGGACATACCACATTTGTTCATCCATTCGATAGCTGGTGGACATTTGGGTTGTTTCTACCTTTTGGCTATTGTCAATAATTCTGCTCTAAACATTTGTGTACAGGTTTTTATAAAGCCAGCATTGATGATTTTTGCTATTATTTTTATTTTAGATGAATTTTTGTGGGTCCTTACTATGCCATTCTTCAGGGTGATCACCTCTCTCCCTACTCTTCTGCCCTCTTTTCCCTTGTTGACCGTGGACAGTGATGGAACAAGATAATCCCAGCTACCTTGAACCAGGGACCTCTGCACTTCTACTCAGAATATAAGCTATTTTGTAATAACCCAGAAAAAATAATTTTAACTCAAAATTAAGTAAAATTTAATTTATAAAATAATATTTAAGTTAAAATACTGTTTAAGTATGTTCAATATTTGTAAAACTCAGGGAGTATTTTCTCTTTTTAGCTCAAGGACCTCAATTTACTCGATCGCTGTATAAAAGAAACATTACGGCTTCGGCCCCCGATCATGACCATGATGAGAATGGCCAGAACTCCTCAGGTAGGTCTCTGAGCCACATCTCCTCTTGTGTGCCCTTAATTTTAATTTATCAGGAAGATGATTTCCAGAAAGAGAGTTCTGGAAATTAAAAGAGTAGAATAACCACCACTTCTACCTAATTTTAAATTTTACACATTCTAAGCATATATTTTCACATAATTGCAGACAGTATACAAACTGTTTCCTGCATTTTTATTCAACAATTAGGGTTTTTCAAACAGATGTATTTTTTATTTTTAAAAAGTTTTGTTATAAAAAAATTTTAACTATGGAAGTATAAAAATGAGATTATGAGACTCCTTGAACTCCCACCCCTACCTCTGAGACATTATTTTTTGTGTATATATTTGTAGCCCAATTTTGGGTCATTTAGAAATCATCTTGACTTAAATAATTTTTTGCTGGCCTATCATCTAGTTTTTAAATATATGTATATTTGATATATATTACTGCTTTATTATCCATTGACCTGATTATTTGGTAGAATATTTTAAAATTAATGAAACTTTTTGCTTTCATTTGCAGGTGGTGGCAGGGTATACCATTCCTCCAGGACATCAGGTGTGTGTCTCTCCCACTGTCAATCAAAGGCTTAAAGACTCATGGAATGAATGCCTGGACTTTAAGCCTGATCGCTACTTAGGGGACGAGCCAGCATCTGGAGAGAAGTTTGCCTATGTGCCATTTGGAGCTGGTAAGATGCATGTATTTAGTCTATGGCCATACCACCGGGAACCAGCCTGATCTTGCATGAATATATTTACCTTTGAAATGTTTGTTCTTCGAAGAGCTTGTCAGATGTTATCAGAACAAACAAAAATAAGCCATGTGAACTTTATTTACAGATATCTTTCCTTTTCCTAATAGGGACATTTTTGCAAAATGTGTGGGGACTTTCCCCACACCAGTTCTCTGCAGACACTATCTGGGTTCCTTCAATTCAGTTCAATTCTGACATTCTCTTCCCAAAGTTAACACAGACCCCGTTGGTTAAAGGCTGAGTCTCACAAGACCACTCCCGCCCCCCACTTCAGATACCAGATGCAAGTCCACTTGTCACCTGTTCTTCTGACCAACTAGTTATAAATCAGAAGTTCTCTCACTCCCCTCTTTGGGGTTCCATAATTTGTTAGAATGGTTCACAGAACTCAGAAAAGAGTTTACTTACTGAACTGGAGATACAACTCAGAAGCATTCTCATTGAAGGGATGCATAGGGCAAGGTATGGGGCCAGGGCACAAGTTTCCACAGCCTCTGTGGGAGTGCCATCCTCCCAGCACCTCCACGTGTTCATCAGCCTGGAGACTGTCTAACAGCCCGTGCATTTTGAGGAGTTTTGTGGAGGCTTCATCACATAGGCATGACTAAGTCATTGGTCATTTGTGAATAATTCAACCTCCAGCTCCTCTGCCTCCCTGAGGGGCCTTCCAAAAGTCACCTCTTTTCACTTAAGAAGTTCCAAGGGTGTGAGGAGCTTTGTGCCAACAATGTAAGACCAAATGCATTTCTTACTACAAATTAACAATATCACAGTTGTTGTACCTTTAGTATTGAAGTCAGATTTGAAGTCAGTTTAAGTGCTCCAACTTGGTTTTTTTCAGGATCGTTTTGGATACCCTAGGTCCTTTGCATTTCCGTATTCATTTTAGAATCAGTTTATCAGTTTTGGTCTGTATATGACCTTTCAAATTTTGATCTGTTTCCATTCTGGGTTTATTAAATGACTTTTTATTCTACTATCATTTGTAATGGCATTGATTGGAAGGTTTATATTGATTTTTAACTAGCACTCTCTTGGGAGAGAAGGTAAGAATATTCTAGTATATTGCCAAACTAGTATCATGTATTTCAAACCTTTCATATATTTAACTTAGATAAATGTTAAGTTTCAAAAAAAGTGATTGGAAAAGTCATTTTATAGTTACCCAAAGCTGTTTCTACTAAAAACATGTTGAAAATCTCCTGGGATTTTTATTAACTATTTATATTCTTGTTTTATGTGAAAAGAATGTCTTTTTATAATATCTATGTATCTGTTCTTCACCTAAACTGTGGCTAAACAAATTTCATCACTGCAGGCTAAAAGTGAGAAAATTTCAGCTAATTCTTATGAAAACTTTTTTTACAGGGCGTCATCGTTGCATTGGGGAGAATTTTGCCTATGTGCAAATCAAGACAATTTGGTCCACTATGCTTCGCCTATATGAATTTGATCTCATTGATGGATATTTCCCCACTGTGAATTATAGAACCATGATTCACACCCCTGAAAACCCAGTCATCCGATACAAACGAAGAACAAAATGAAGAACGCTGCAAGGAACTAAAATGTGAAACGTCACTGTAAACAGCAAAAGCATTGGAAGAGAATGAAGTTTATGAAACAACTCTCTGTGTATTCTTTTTTGAGTGTGTTAACTTTAAAAGGCAGCAAGCTTAAGTTTTTATATTTTCTTAACTGAATGGTTCCATAAAATCTTAATGGCATTTCAGACATTTTCTAGTACTTTTATGATGGCTATTTACTACATATGCTTTATTTGAGGAAATCAAGGTCATTAGCAGAAAATTGTTTAGGGGGATGTTGGCTATTGGCAGATTCTAAATAACACAATAAGTATTAATTTTAAGAGCATGCCTAGCTGTTGGCAAGTATGTTCAGGGTATTCAAATTTTGGACTAGATCTGCAGGTATAAAAGCCTAATGCGATCCTCGGAAGCCTAGGTTATTTATTCATTTACGGGGTAATGTTTGTATGTGAGAGGATTGGTGGTTAGGGAATAAACATTTAGAGCCTTGGGTGAAAGAGATTTCTATGAACTGTTTTGATATTGTAGTAGCAATGGAGCTATACTGTAAGAAAATACATCCTTAGGGAGTATTGTCTATAGGAAACAGAGATAAAAACAATGTAAGTGTTAATTCCAAAGACTGCTTGCCTTAACTTGATGGAATTACTAAATATTTTATCTACCTGATACATTTATTTCTGGTTCCACATGGTGACATCTCTGTGAAAATCCAAAATAAAGTCCCTAAGGGATAGTTTTTGTTCTCTTTGGCTCCAGGAAGGTTCCCTACTTCTCCAGAATCTATTTAGGATATTTCTGTTACTAGTTCTGTTCATTAAAACTTAATTTAGGTCAATAAGCTTTTTTTTAATACAAAATTTGAGATCAGAGAATTGTGCCTTTAACATAAGGATAACATGAAGCAGGGCCCTTGAAAGCAGTATCACTGGTCCTATTCTGTGACCGTGAGGGCTGTGTTCAGGAATCAACTCAAATTATAACGGGAGGCCTGTCTTTTATACTTGGAATTTGACTATACAGTCTGTTTTTACTAAGTGAGGCCAAACTATTTTCCCTTGTGTGTATGGCAATTCTGTTTAGGAGGCTGGAGGACTCATGTTAAATGCTGTCTCTGCTGTACAGAGTTTTTCACATTAAAATTATCTTGGAGAAAAATAATAGTCTGTATTCATGAACTGTAAAGCATGTGTGCTTTAGTGAGTACAATTCAGGAATCTAGGAACTTGGATGGAAAAAATTGCATCCTTATTTGTACTAATTTCAAATATAATTTAGTATTTCCTTTATGAAGTTAGGCAACAAACCACACTAGTACTAGCAGCACCCATGATCGTGAACAGAAATCACAGGTGTTTTCCTATTACTTTACAGATGTGGTAGATCTTGAAGTACCTTTTACTCTCATCACTACTTGAAATTATGGTCATTGTTAGATCTGCTAGATCTTACTTCTTTAAGCTTGCATGTTATATCACAAACCATTTTTAAAATTTGACTTTCCATATAATTGGTTTCCTTTACAGCGCTATCTATATACAGGGTCTGGCAGAGTAACACCTGCTTGAGTGTGGTTGGAGGGTAATAATATGGGTATAATAATTTACAGTTTTAATTTGAACATTTCACCTAAAATATCTTATACTGGTGCTTGAGTGTGATATTGTTATGTTCCAGAATTACAGGCTTATGGTTTTGTAACAAAAGATTTTATAATAAATGGGCATTATTTGTGCTGACCCCTGTATTTTATATCTTTAAAAAGCATTATTCTGTGAAGAATAGTTTCACAAGCAAGGAAAGGTTCATGGCACAAATAAAGTTGAAACCCTGAGGAAAGATTAATTTATGTTTAATGAACAGTATTTCGATGTTAAGAGGTTTTAAAGTCACAAAAGATGTAGTTTTTAATCACAGATTAAGAACTGATAAGCATTAACAAGTTGATGGCAGAGGCCTAATGTCAGGGCTTGATGGTCAAACGATGGAATGAACAGAGATTGGTCAGCACTGGGCTGTCTGCCCCTTTCTTGCTCAGGGCAGAGCCTTGACTGGTGACTGTGAAAGGTGCTGCCCACAATCCTTACCTTAAACTACCTGCTTCAGAATACACTGTTTCTCACTGGAGCCCAGCTGCTAATGGGAAATTTAGGTGCTATGGAATCTTTAAGAATGTACAATTCATTTCCATAGCCTGTTTTGTGTTGGTATGAATCAGAGAATACACCCAATGATAAGGCAAAAATCTGGTTGTAAGCATCAACTACTATTACTATTGCTGATTTAGTGAATTGCCAGGTTATTGGGGAGGACTCCAGGTAAGATGTAACACAGGTTTATTTTACCTGTGAGGGATCCCCAATCTGGATTTGGCTCAGCAGAAATACTGTTTGTTCTATTATACTGTGGTTAATAAAACTTAAGGTTATTTGAGTTAAATGAGTTCTGCATCATCTTAGTGGACATGGCTTTGTGAGGACACACCTTCAGACACAAGTAACGAAACAGCAAATAAGGATTAATCACGAAAGTACCAATGTATCAATAGCTTTAAACAAATACTTTACATATATGTAAAGTTGATACAAAGGCAAATGGGCAATTCTTCCTCAGTGGAAGGAGAAAAATCCCAATGGTATCTAGTAGATTAGGACAACTTTCTGAATCTCAAAGTCCGAAATAGATGAGTGATGAGACTACTGAGTATTTGTGTACCCCTCCCCCCATTCCTATGTTGAAACCTACTGAAGCCTCCAATTTGTTGGTATTCAGAAGTAGGGCTTTTTCGGGGACTCCTGCGGGGAGCTCCCGAGAACAGGATCAATGCCCTTATAAGAGAAACCTCACAGCTCCCTGGCCCCTTCTGCCCTATGAGGACACAGCAAGCAGACGGCAGTCTATTAACATGGAAGCAGGGCTCACTGGTCACCTTGTCTACTGGTACCTTGATCTTGGACTTCCCTGACTCTAGAACTGTGAAAAAATAAATTTCTGTTGTTCATAAGGCAGCTATTCTATGGTGTTCTGTGAGAGCAGCCAGAATGGACTAAGGCATGCACCAGGAACTATGGCGTAGTCAAAAATGAAGAGGGTTCAAATACGGTGTGGTTAAAATGGTGAAGTCATTTTTATTTCAGTACTTGACAAAATACCCCATAAAAGTCAAAACTTCTACCATTATACAAAAATAGGTCTCTACAAGTGATATCTGTCATCATCACCAGTAGCAAATATATTAGGCAGAAACAGGTAACTTCAGTAGCCTCGTAAGAAAAGTGCAGGACACCTCAAGCCACACATTCAGCAGTGTCATAATGCGCAAAAGTTTAATCTTTTCACCCATTTGATAAATACACCAGGTTTATAATTTAACCATTTAAATTAGCATTCCACAAATACACATGTAACTTAAGGGCTGTTGTGCATGAATACATACACAATGCTTCTATGTACAAACTCCAGTTTGTTTTCATGTGCTGGCAAGGGATCTGTGTACAATCGTAAGCTGTGTTCATGTTGGTCCCATTGAATGTCCACGATACAAAAGCACAAAAGAACCATTGGTTTACAAAAGGGAATTTGTTTAAAATCACTTTGATTTCAAAGGATTATCTTCTCATGCCAGCATGAAAATGAGTTGAACCTATGAGAGAAAACCAGGATATTTAAATGATTTCAAATTAGATTGTTACCTATACCACACTAACTAGTTCATAAAGGGGCAGATTACTATTACCCTCCATTTAAAAACAATGCTTTCTATTTCCCTAAAAAGTCTTCATACTTGAACAGATTTTATTTATTTTTAGGAATTTACTGAGAGAAAAGGAGAGACAAACATCGATTTGTTGTTTTGCTTATTTATGTATTCACTGGCTGCTTCTATGTGCCCTGACAGAGGAATAAACCCACAACCTTGGTGTATTGTATTGGGGCACCACTCTAACCACGTGACCCACCTGACCAGGGCCTCATTGTGCATTTCAATCTGCTTATCAATATGCTGAATGAAGACAGCAGGAAATCTTTTTGGGGAGGAGTGGGATCTGGGGTGATTAATCATGTCTTGTCTTAAATTGCTAAGTCTCCCCTGGTAATTCAGGCACTGACCTGTAGGATTTGATTACTTGAATGAAGGTCAAGGAGTTTCAAAAAAGGGGAGCTAGCTGTGGGTCTACCTAGGACACTGGCAGTGTGCCCATGGCCAAGCAAGAGTACCTGACTGCACGGTGCCAAGCCGTCTCTGCAGCGCCTCCAGCCGGGTGATGTAATCCGTCAGGGCCCTGTCAGGGTCATAGTTCTGAAGCTGAGAACATGCTAAGGAAGCAGGATTTAAGTCAGCTGGAGGGCCTGGGTACCTATGGTATTAAAAATATAAACATGAATCCACATTATCCAGAAACAAGGCAAGTAACTTACCCACTCTGCCCTCCACCTTGCCCTCAAAAGGTCGACCACTAGGACACTGCCTGGTCTGTATCCCCCACACATCTGAGTTTGTGTTGTATAACAGTAACAATTCCTCAATAAATTCAAAGCAGCAGCTACTAAGTCAGCAAGAGAATGTCCAGTCAATGCCTGTCACAGAGGTCCTCAATAAATGCTGCATTTTATATAAATGCATCTTGTCATGCAGACTTGAGTTTTTTGCATAATGTCCAGAGACTATCAATTTTAGTGAATACCTTCCCCAATGCCTAAACCATACCATTTACTAAATAACACTCCATCAACTGTTTCTTATACCCTTGGAAACCAGTTATGTAAATTACATATACCTGAAGATACTTAATGAGTTCGATGCAAAGAAGTCAAAGCCCGAGCACTGTCCTTTCTCTAAGTATCTGTATCTTTAACGACTCTGAGCAAGTTTGTCAAATTCTCACCTGTTCTGAAACGGTAAAGGAGACCGAGGGTAGTCCAGATCGGATCTTGAGCGGTAGGCGGTGTGCCTGGGTTCTCCATACAGCTCCAGGCCAGCAGCAGAATGGTAAAACAGGTCAGTCTTTTCAGCACCTGAAGTAATACAAAAGGTTCCTTGTTAAAAAAAATACTGAGTCCCTGAAAAATTTCCACAAAACAGATCAAGGCTCAAAAGATTACTATGTTGTAGCACACTAACTTCCGTTTAAGTTATTTTCAATTATTCTTGCTGCAGGAGAGAAAACCCATTAGATCTGTTACTGTTTAACTTTCAATGAGTACTTCTGCTAATCCAAAACTACAGCTCAAAGAAAAGAAACCATTAAACTACTTAGTTATAAGGAGAGATGAGGAAAAGGGTACCTGAATATGTATGGTTTAGGGGAAAAGATGATTGGATAAAAAAATTAGACTAATATTAGACTAATACATAGGTGGTTTAGCAGCAATACATAGCACAGCTGGGCTGTGTGTCTGCAGCTCCGTGTACTCCCCTCTCTAAGGCTGAAATGCTGAAGCTCTGTTTGTTTCCACTCTTGGTGCAGAGAGAAGGAAATTTAATGGTCAACCATTATTATGTAACACTCAGAACACTCAGTACACTCAGAACTCTCAGAACTCAGTACACTGTAACACCTATCAGTACACTCAGAAACCTGTGGGAATATTGCTAAACTGTAAAAACTTCAAGCTGTAACTCTTCCATATGACTGAGAACAGCAAGCTTATCTTGAACCAGAGCCTTAAATGCAGTCATAGGAATAGCAGGTCCTGGAGCCAGATGGCCCCGGTTAGAGGCTGGCTCTACACCACTTCCTACTGGGTAACTGAGGCAAACGACAGATGCTGTTCATGCCTCAGTTTTCCATCTGTACAGTGATAGTTAACTGTGCCCACATCATAGGACTGGGAGAATACATTATAACACATCGAAAAAGCAGGGCCTAGTGCAGACTAAGTACTCCACAAAAATCAGCTACTGTTACTCTTTAAAACAGTGAGGTCCTCAGCTTTGTTAGTAATAGGGGCTCTCTGTCTTTGGATGACATTATCTGGGAGGTATGACACATGCAGTAATTTCAGACAATCATAAACAGAAAAAAAATTCTATTTTGACTTCACCTGGACTCAGTCCAAAGCCATCCCTGTTAATGTTGATGGAACCAGAACTTGTGACACGATGCCACCGTCGAACCAAAAATTTCATTCTAAAAAATATGCCAGAAAAAATGTCACAGCATTATCTATAAGGTAGAGAGTACAAATACATACTTTGCACAAAAAAATCAAGTCATACATTTAAATATGATATGAAACAAATTTCAAAATCACGATTGCCTAATCCCAAACTATGCAAATGTCCCCGTGGTTTGTGGCAACATTAACTGGAGAAGAACAGGCTTTCCCCAGAAGCACCAAAGGTCTCGTGCTGCCAATATCAGTTCTGGCTTTAGGAGTAAGCGGGGCTCAAGAGATGGAGGGCAAAAGTGGAAAAAGGAAAGTGGAAGGGCCGAGAATGTGCGAAAAGTAATGAAAAGAGAAGAAGAGCGGAGACTGAAGGGCAGATGAAATGGAGAGGGAATAAAAGACCCTGGAACTGGCAGTAAGAGGGAGCAGGGGGAGCTGGGAGCTGGAGGGGAGTGAGGCTGTATAATCGGGACAGGAAACAGCGCTGGCTTCAAAAGGGAAAGGATGGCAGTGTCACAAAGAAGCTGCAGCAAGGCGCTGCCTGCCTGGACCGGGCATGAGCTTTTTGAAGCAACAATTTTGATTTCCAACCTGTTTGAAGGCTGAGGTTTAGGGTGGTCCAAATACAATGAACATGTAAGAGGAAAAGAAAAGGAGGCAGAGTGAAGTTGCTCAATGGCAAATGGCTTTCGTGTACACTTGCCAAATTCTTCTAATCAAAATTAATGGTTAACTCCCGTGACCTCTCCCTCAGCACCTTCTAACTGATGGGCACACTGGTCCTCCCCCACTAGGAGCGAGCTGTGGGCAGCCATTCTGGCGGGATTCTATCCTTCCCATCAATACCGCTCTGAGCGCTTAACTCTGCACAAGGTGCAGGAGGTGATAAAGGGAGGAGCTGGAACCAGTTCTGTCACTCCTGGCTTTGCAACCTCTCCCTGACTCAACTTCCTTACCTGTGAAACGACATTCTGGACTACGTGATCTCCGACAGCTTCTAGTTAGAAAACTCTGAGTCATATTTAAAAAAATAGGTAAAGAAAAAAGGGCAAGACCCCTGAAGACACATCAGATGTGACCTCATAGGAACACTAAAAATAAAATTCCTTTGAGACTGCCTGGCTCCTACAGAAACAAAAGGGAGGGGAAGCGTGGAGAAGCCTAGTGCCTGGGTGTATGCTGCTCACTTCAGGACTGCAGGGGGCCAGGTGCCCAAGGTAGTGTCATCCTGACTCCATTTCAGCCAGACGGAGAAACAAGCACCACAGTTCTAGCTGGGAACTTCCAGAGAAAGAGTGATGAAAGCAGTCATAGAGTCCAACACCCTGAAGGCTGATCTCTGGCCTGATGGAGAGAGTTAGGCTGGGACTTTCTGTAGCTGGGCTCCGAGTTGGGTTATTTTAGAAATCAAGAAAATGAATGTAGGTGTGGCCCTGGCCGGGTGGCTCAGTTGGTTGGAGCACCGCCCTTTACACCCAAGGGCTGCAGGTTGAGTGTCTAGTCAGGGATACACCTAGGCTGCAGATTCAATCCCCAGTCGGGGCATGAAAGGCAGGCAACTGATTGATGTTTCCCTCTCACATTACTGTTTCTTTCTCTCTTTCTCTCTCTTAAAAGAAAAGAAAATGTATGTCACAGCCTAAGTAATTTTTCAAAAACATTTCCCCCTCTTATTCATACGTCTGGACTAATTCAAGGGCTTATTCAGATTTAGGGCTCAGCGACAGATGTAGGGGGAAACAAAAAAGGCAGTGTAGACTGGATGCACCAGCTCTGAGCCGCTGGCTGCCTGCATCCCGGACGGCCCCTTTCACGGGGCCTCCAGGGGACAACGAAGGCGCTCCTGCTGACAGGACGGAAGCGGAGCGAGACACAGGCATGCTGGAGTGAATGTCTCATACAATATGATACAGGGCACCACAAGCAGAGAAAAGAGAGAAGAGTCTACTAAAGTGAGTTTTATTTCAAGCCCTTTACCTAGAGATCGCCATGGACACTCTGACAGCTGACCGAAACCTGGTGAAGCCCTTTGGGCGGTTGGTGATCACCTCCAGGTCCGTGAAGGCCGGCTGCCCCCCCATGCGGGCGAGCAGAGTCAGGGTGGCCTCTTCACATTCCTGGAAGCCACCCAGCAACAGCAGCAGGTACTTCTTCTGGTAAATGAGAGCTTTCCGAAAACTCTCTGCCCTCAGGTATTTACCATAAATTCTCTACATTTAAAGAAGGGAAGAACATAAAGATATTATTAAGAAGTCATTCGGCCCTGGCTGGTGTGGCTCAGTGGATTATGTGCCAGCCAGCAAACCAAAAGCTCACTGGTCTGGTTCCTGCTCAGGGCACACAGCTGGGTTTCAGCCCAGATCTCTGGATGGCGGCGTGCGAGAGGCAACCAATCGATGTATCTCTCACACATCAATGTTTCTCTCCCACTCTTCCTCCCTCCCTCCCTTCCCTTCTAAAAATAAATGAATAAATAATTCAAAAAAAGTCATTCAAACTGTTCTCTAGGGTGAGACAACCTAGTTTTTATTTTTTAAAAAGTAGTAGTAGTAGAATGGCAGGTACCCTACTACTATTTTCTACCTTAACGGCAAACTTGGAAGTAAAGATAATTAATTTTAATCTTATACTTCTGCCTCTTTTTAGCCAATGGAATCTGAATACTAACCTGATAGTTATGCTTTTTATTTTGGATATTAGCCCCTATTCACCATATTTATTGCAAAAGTTTTTGTCATTCCACTATTGTCCGAGTTTTTAAATTTAATCGTATAGAATTACTCTTATTATTATGGTTTCGAATCTATTTAACATTTTCATTGTTAATGTTTTCTGTCCCTTGAAGAGTAAGAAATCTATGTTTTTCCACAGCTGGAATAAATATCCCAAACACTTTTCTTTCTTTTTGTTCTGGGTTTTATGTTAACTGACTAAAGTAGTTTTACTACAACATTCATTATTAGTCAGTACAGAGGCTATTAAGAGGGCTTAGCATCTTGTAGAGCATGATGATCTGGTATTGACAGTAGCAGAGTTTTTGTGGGGAGCTGTAAAGATAACTTTCTGTTGGTCATTAGGGATGAAGGGGTGAGGCGGATACCTTGCTATCTCAGACTTCTAGCTTCTATTACTGTGAGGTAACACATTTCTGTTTTTTTTTAATATATTTTTATTGATTGTGTGGGAATGAGGATCATGAGCTCAGGTGCTGCCAACTGTGGCCATGAATAGAGCTTAATCTGGTCCCAGATCTGGACGTGCCTCGCCGCAGTTATTTTGCAACCAGCAGAGAGACCTAGAGACACAGTCTGAGTGCCACCTAAATTTCAGTCTGTGGAACAAAGGTCAGTGAGAAATGAGACAAGGAGAAAGAGGAAACCCCAGCTTCGCTGGGCATGTGTTCAGATGGAAGATGCCTCCTACCTTTACAGTGGCGTGCTCAGGGTCCGGGCTCAGAGTCTGAAGTGAAACTTCATTTCTTAGTTCAGCTTTCAGTTTGTACACTTCAGCTTCTGCCCTCTTCAAGGATTTTTGAAGAGTCAACTTTTCTCTGTTCCAGACTTCCTTTTCAGAAGCAATGATGGCTTCAATGTTGGCGCCACCACTGAATGAAAACCTGGAAGACTGTGGAGACCAGAGCCTACTTACTTAATTGATTTTTAAGAGCGAGTCTCTAAAGAAAAGCCAGATTTAAACATATTAGAGGTATCACTGTGGGAGATGGAGAAGTCTCAGCTTTTCAACCTCAGACAAGGAATACTCAAAGCCAATCTCAACTGACATTAAAGAATATACAGTAACTTTTCAGTGTATGGTCCTTTGCCAAGCAGGTTAACTTTGCAACTAAAAATCTTCATGAAAGCCTAAGCCCCAGAGAAGGTGCTTAGGTTTAACAGAACTTGGAACTGAAAAAGTCTACACATTTAAGAGATGGACCATCTGAGCCCAGAGGCTGAGCATGGACCTCCAACAGGACACTAGAGACTCGGGGAAAATCCATGCAGTATGCATCCAGGGAGTGGGCCCCACGGAAGCTGTGGGGTCATGCTAGTGCGTATCGGACTGCAGAGCTGTCTGACAGGTCTTCCCTGTCTTTGTGCTGGGCAATGACAGAAGCCAGCAATTTATTTTGCAGTTCTTAAGTGAAAAAAAATTGAATAAATTCCCAGAGTAGTTTATGAACTTGAAATATACCGTATTTTTCAGACTATAAGACGCACCTAGGTTTTAGAGGAAAATAGAAAAAACTTTGAAGCAAAAAAATGTGGTAAAATATTTAATAACATAAATAATATTTTACCAGTGTAAATGTAAACAGAACTCAACAGTAGCATTAACCATTATTCCTCCCAAATGGGGAAGGGGGGTGGTGGTGCATCTTACAGTATGAAAAATACGGTATAATTTAGTGACACCTTTCACTTGCATTATGAACTTAACAATCGATATATAACTGATGAGAACAGCCAGAATTCAAATTTGAACATTGAACATGTGTCTGCTGTTAGTTCACAGGCAGCAGAGTACCTGGCTTTAGAGATAAGTTGATCTTGGTTTGACTACAGACTTCTGTTTTCTCATATCAAGGCTGCTGGACATGGATTACAGATTCTGAAAAGTATAAAACCCAGATTCTGACATACAGAAGGCTTCTGATGAGTAATAGCTATTATTATTATTATTGTCATTCCTATAAAACTTTCCAGTGATTCTACTAGGAATCAGATACTTAATATTTTTACATTAGCAGGGGTAAGAAATGAAACTAGACTGCAGAAACTGTAACTCTGTACTACTTCTCACATGTGGCCATACTAAAATTAGACGTACGTAATCTCTGCCAACTCCTGTCTGTCGATACCACCTGATCTGCTCTTCTAGCTTCATAACCAGGTTTCTCAAATCATTCTTTTCTTCAGTCAGTTGGCTGATATGTCCTGTTAGTTCAGCATTTTGTCTCAGTAGTCTTTCAGTCATTGAGCCACAAGAGGTACTTGGGGACACTAAGGTAGGCTAGAAAGATAAAACAGACAAAAGGTTGCATAAACACTAACATTTATAAATAATGCACACAAAATGTGGTCAGCACTAAGAACAATCTCATGAAGAAGTGGTGCTTGTGCTGAGCCTAAAATAATAACCAGGAATTTACCAGGCAGGAAAGAAGACAGGGAGGGGTATATTAAGCAGAAGGAACGGTGTGTGTAAAAGCACAAAGGCTTGATCAAGAGTGTGATTTTAGGGAGCCACAGTTGCTTGGTAAGGCTAGAGTTAAGGCTGCCTTAACTCTGGGGACAACAGACTTAAATGCAGGGAGTGGAGAGCTATGAAGGGCTGTAGGCATGAGCATGCCACAAACAAAATTTATGTGTTAGAAAGATTGCTTTAGTGAAAGTGTGTGAAGTAGATTAGATCAGCAAAGATAAATCCTGGTGTCAGGCAGACACATCAGGAAGTTACTGCAACAGTCCAGGTGAGGTATGTGAAGGCCTAAAGGCAGTGACTAGGGCACACAGGACAGATGTCTAGGAGGCAGATAGCACAGGACTTAGTGACTGCTTTGATATGCAAGCAGCAGTGGAGCAAGGAGGGCTATGGTGGCTTTCAGCTTTCTAAACCGGTGATACCATGACCAGAAATGTGGGTTTGGGGCAGGAAGCAGGGAAGGAAAACAATGCTCAGTTTGGAATGTGTCTGTGAGGTTCCTAAGGGGTCACTATGGGGTATAATTCCCCAAAGAAAGGTGTCTAATGACTAATTGAAAATATAAGTCTGGACCACAGGACAAAGGTGGTCCACTAGAATGTAAGCTCCATATGGGTGAGATTTTTAAATCAGATTTATTTACTGTATCTCCAGAACTCAGGGTAATACCTGATATCTAGTAGGTGCCCAATGTAATTATTTGTTCAATAAATAAGTCTACTGAGAAACTCGGGTTGCATATATGAACATGCTTTCATAGCTACAGTCAGAGGGAAAAAAATGGATGTGTGTAGGAGGAAGAGGAGCTCATGAGGGTTACTGATGAAAGAATGGAAGAAATGAGAGAATACTGACATGAAAGTAAGGAGAGAGTGTTTAAGATGGAAGAAGTAGTATCAAATGCTACAAAGACAAAGGGGGCTGAAAAGATTCACCAGGTTAGTCAGTGTGAAGACGGCGGTGACATTCACGGAGTGCTGAGGGTAGCAGCCAGGCTCATCTTTCCAGAAACTTGGTTATCATAATACAAGAGGTCCACGTAATTACTCAATAATGATAATGAAAGTTAATTTCCTCAAGCTTTCATCAACTTTTATTGGGGGAGCAAACATTAAATATTTAGAATAAATGAAAAGGTAAAAGGAAAACTCTTTAGAAAATACAGTGCTAGTTTCAAACAACTGGTAGTTTCCATTAAACCTTTGTTCTTGTTACCTTATAAAAAGTTTTTTAAGTCGTACCTCTTTGCCTGGCTGGCCAGTTAATTTTTGTAGTTGTAAAATAACTTCATCAATATTTTCATGAACCCAAATGAAATCTTCATCATCTGCTGTTTCAAACTGCAGTCTTCAAAAAAAAAGAAAAAAAAGGAAAAAATGACAAAAAGTCAAAACATCACAATCAGTGGTGTTGGCTGGCGCAAACATTAATGGATCGGGCAACACTCAGCTTCATCTATCACTTCTCCTTTACATTAAGTGTTCTCTCTCCCTGGATCAAGGTGTTAACATGACCTTGTATCCATACCTTGTTTTCAGGTATATGAGTTTTGTTAGAAAATATCGCCTCCTAATGTAAGCAGGCATTAATTTTAAAATTTCAACCCCCCTACCCTTGGCTAGCTAGGAATGAGGGGCAGATTCTGTCCCGCTTGTCTAAGACGCTCTTTCCGAAGGTCAGGCAGCAAAGTCAAACCTGTTGGAGGCTTTCTGGGCGAGGCGCTGTAGTTTTGAAGCCATATGTTGAAGCTTTTGTTTGATCATTTCTAATTCGTGATTATAGCCAGTTCCTCCTCCATTCATTTCAATCAGTTTAGGATAGCTTGATTCCTTTGTCTCTCCTTCTATTTTCTGTTGAAGAACCCAATTTCTAGTTCGATCACTGGTTAAACTCCATGTGGTTGGCTGGCAATTTTGGACAGAAAAAGAAAAAGCAATAATTATAAACAAACAGCATTCTTTCTTAAGGGAACACAATTTACAGTAAGCTTTCAATATTGTTGAAAGCAACATTTCTGTGACTTTAAGTAAAATGATGTCTAATGAAACCAATTTTACCATAGGCTAATTGATACAAACAAGAGTTCTTACTGCATCTCATCAATGTTACAACAAAATGAAACAACATTTCTGTGACTTTAAGTAAAATGATGTATAATGAAACCAATTTACCACAGGCTAATTGATACAAACAAGTCTCAATTGATGAGACTGCATCTCATCAATGTTACAACAAAATGAAGTTGAATGGAACGATGGCATGTGAGGACCTGCTGTATTATTTATACTCCAAAGAAATGTCATAGATTTTGTTTTAACATGATTTGTACATAGCTATTTGAATAATTTAACCCAGTATCAAAATTATATGATCAAAGGGCTGCAATATTCTTTTAAAATATTTTAAAAAAAACTGTCAATTTACCTCATTAAGATTCTGATACAGAATTCTACTTTCTCGTTTTTCTTCTCGTTCTAGTTCTTGCTTCTGGAATTCCTGCATAATTCCTTGCAGTCGCTTTCCTTCAAGGTCCAATTTATAAACTTGTTGCCTCTTTTCTTCCAGCTGGCGCTGAAGATCTTCCACTTTGGACTGGAGCTCCCGCATTTTCTTCTGTCCCTCTGTGTTGGCCTCTTGTTCTGTCTGCAACGTCTTCCTGTGAACCTGCCGATCCTTTTCCATTTGCTGTCTTGTCTGCAAAGAATCCAGTTTATATTTCTCAGTCTCATTTAATAATTCTACTATGCGGCTGTGTTTCTCCTCCAGCTGTTTCTGCAGCTCTTTGAGGAGGTCCTCAGAGGGCAAGGAGGGCCGAGGCTGCCCGGCGTCGTCGCTGCTCCGCTGCAGCTGCGCGTGCACTTCCCGCTCCCTGTCCAGGGTGCTACTCATTTCCCGAATCCGACCTCTCTCGGATTCAAGCAGCACTTGAAGCTCCAAGTTTCGACCTCGTTCTTCTGCTAGCTGGGCATCATATAGCACTCTTTGTGATTCTATTTCCCGCTGTGATTCATTTAGTAGTTGCTTCTGTTGTTGCAAAAGTTGATTTAGCTGAATACTCCTTTGTTTCTGACCCTCCAGTGAAAATTTCAGATCCTTATAGGAGAAAATGATTTTAAGTATTTGTTACTATTATTAAAAATACTTTATAAGTACACACAATTGTGGTTTTATTAACGCTAAGTTGGTAGTATTTGATAATACCACTGATTATCCAGTTTATTAACCTAAATTTTCAGTGGTTAGAGAATTATTATTTAGACGGCTAGGTGATTTTCATCAAAGAATATAAACAAAAGACAGCTAAGCTAAGTAATGCTTTCTCTCCTAATAGTAACCATTTCTGATTTAAGAATAGGAAGTAGGGTATATTTCTTCTAGAAACAATAGCCTTTAAAAAAACAAATATTTCTAATATAATGTGGTATGAGTTCCTGATGAACTTTGTATTTTCCAATATCATGTACTAAAAACAATACGGTTCAGGGGAAAATCAGGGTTAGGGGCAAGCTACTCAAAACCTACGCAAATTTGAAGTGATAAAAAATAGTCATCAGGACCTGAGGAAAGGACATGCCTTCGAGAGGCAGAGAGCTCACTAAGCCTGCAGGCTACCATGGTGGACATTAAAAATAACCCTCAAAAGTAATAGGGCAGAAATGAGGGCTACACAGATTTTTAAATGGTTTTATTTATTGACTTTTTATTTACTGATGAGATTATACACACACACACAAATTTAGGTTGGAAGCCACACACACACACACACACACACACACACACACCCACACACGTATGAGAAAGGGCGAGGGAGAAACACTGATTTGTTGTTCCACCTCTTGATGCACTTATTCGTTGATTCTTGTACGTGCCCTGACCAGAAATCACACCCACAACCTGGCATATTGGAATGACATTCTAACCAACTGAGCTATCCAGCCAGGGCTTACACAGGTTTTTAGTGTTGAGCTAGCAAGTACTGGGTTATGTGGATAGGAGAGCTCTGAGCCACTGGGGCTGGCGTTCAAGTGCGCAGTGCTGTGAGCTGAGATCTGTGCTAGGCTGGGAGACAGCCCAGTGGGAAGGGACTCATTTTACTTTTTCATAAACTATAGCAGCAGGCTCCTGCTGCCAGTAAAGTATCACTGCTCCCCTTCCCTATGAGAACACAGGAACCAAAACTACTTCTGCATTAAACTGGCATGACTACCCTATTTATCAAATTGTATATGCACTAATTCAAATTCCCAAAAACATGATGCAAGAGAACAGTCTGTATGCATACTTGGATGTAGCAAAACAAAACAAAAAGGCATCGCACTACTAGCATTTCCTTGTATAGCTTAGATAACATAATAGTATTCAATACAGAGCAAGCAACTCATTGCAGCTCATAAAGAGTTCAATGTTGACATTTTAGAAGGAGAAAAGTCTCCAGACTCTCATTTTTCTACTGTTTTGGATTTTCCACAGATATTTAAAGACAGAGAGACCAATACCTCAAGTTCTTCTTTATCTCGTTCTTCATCGCGTCCCAGTTTGGCTTTCTCTTTTTCCAAAGCCCACTGGAGCTCTCTGGATTTTTTCTGTTCACTTGCTAATGTGTCATTAAGCAAATGTACTTCATCTGTTTTATCTTTAACTTCCAACCTAAATCAGAGAGACAAATAAACTTTCCTAAAACTACTTTGATTATTTTAGTGGGAAAGAGTACAACTTCCAGTGAAAAGTAGAGGCATTATAATAAAGCAGCAAATAGGAAAATACAAACCACGCAAAGATTAAAGACTGATGACTGTGGTTCATTTCAAATTAACTGTTTCTAATAGTACACCTATTACTTACCATTACAAATTATTACAAGATAATGTTAATAAACATTTTCCCTTGTCTTATACCTAACATGGAAAACACCATGTTTTTGTATATGTGTGAAAACAATGTTCAAAATAAAGATGGTGTTTGTAATGTGTTCTTAGCAAGTAGAGTATCTCAGTATTTACCTCAACAAGCTTATTCTTTTTACAAACATTATCTTTTTAAGCATTTGTATATATTAGCTAACTAAACCATGAATTCTATTGAGATCATAAATACCATTTCAAATTACTTGGTCAAATTAGTGAAATAAAGGTCAAAATTATACATCTTATATTAGAAGCCTCGAGTAGAATGGAAGCCACAGTACAGAACATGCCAATCATGAGCTTATTATCTGGAGTTTTCTTTCCCACTGAGTTCTTCCTATGAATTAATGAAGTGTCATGTTATTTAAACATCATGTATGTTATGTTTTTGTAAGATCCTTACAATGTCTGTGATAAAATTACTCCAATTTCTTCACTACCACAGGTTTATAATAAGGAAGCATGGTGTACCTAAATGCCTCTAATTCCTTCAGGTGCTTATGCTGTGCCTTAAGTGTTGTTTCGAGTTCCAGCTTAGTCTGTGCAAGCTCACTCTTCAGTTCGGCAGCCACCATTTTCTCAGAGCTCAGTTGTTCTTGCAGTTCCGCTGCTCTGTCTTTCACACTGCTGAGCTCCACTTGCATCTCCAGCATCTGAGACTGCTTCTGCTGTATGTTATATTCCAGGAGTTCTAAATGGAAAATTATTCACATTTAAACTATGATTTAGAGACTCATATTTGGTTTATAAATATTTTGTTGATAAGAAATGACTTGGAATTTAGGTGATTACTACAAATTAAAATATTACAGTCCCAAAGCTAGCATTTCATATAAATACACATTATGCATATTTCCCTCACAGTCTGAACGGTCAACATTTCAGAACTATAAATATGTTGGATGATAAAAGTTTAACAAATGTGAAATAAACAGAAATCTGTATGTGTTCATTCAGAATTTCTAACCCTCACATCAAAAAACTCCAGTGGTTTCTGACAGCCCCCCACGGTAACTGCAGGAGTCACCCGGGGAAGTGCGGCTGCAAAGACCGGCACTGCCAGGCCGTGTGCGCAGCCCTGGCTCGAAGACAGTCCCTCGTGACGGTCCTAGAGAAGGGGGAAGTCCAAACCCCAATTTGATTCATGTTTTTTCCTCTAAAACCAATCAAACCCTTGCTGCATGTCTATTACAATGAAAACAAACTGAAATGTTTAAATTCACAGGTGTAATAAATTAAAAAAGTTACAATATATACCAAAATCCCATTCTTATGAAACATATGAACTTATATACATGTACACATTGAAAAGGTCTGAAGAACTATTTACCTGGGTATTATTTTAGGATTTAGGAGATTCTAGTTTTACTCTACTCTTCTACTTCTCTATTCTACCATAAATGTATTTTGCATAAGACCTTTACACTCATAAAAGCAATTTTGACTTGTCTAAGTCCCTTCTTTCATCCCATTAAAATCCTTTTTATTGTTTGCACTATTACAGATGTCCCTACTCCCCCCCCCCGCCCCGTTCCCCCTTCTCTCTGGCCATCACTGCACTGCTGTCCGTGTCTATGGGTCCTGCATCTATGCTCTCTGGCCGACCCCTTCACCTTTTATCTAGTTCCCCATTCTGCCATAAATGTATGTTTAACTTAAAAATTTTCATTGAAGTTAATCACTTCATATTACAATTTCTATTATTCATGTTAGGAGACAGAAAAAACTTGAAGATACTCATGTTAATTCAGGCCTTTAAGACTATTTCTTAGGGAGGCTAAGGAGCTACATATATAAAATGTATGTATGTGAACTAAGCTTCCAGTGGGGTTTTATTTAACTTAAGTAAACTAATACTAATAAATTATCTAAAATAATCTTCAATTAATTCTATGTCTTAATATAAAGGATATATTTAATTTGTGATCTCATTATACCTCTTTGCTCAGAAATATTTAAAATCTTTAGTTTTCCAGTGATAAATATAAGACTATGTTATAACTTTCAAAATTTACAAAAGCATAAGTGTTTGTACCATTATATGAAACAAAAATGTGCCTTCACTAGACACGATGAAAATTAGATTTCAATTTAATCTCAAATGATGTCTATCTGCAGCTCTGAATGAAGAGATACCCCTATTGAAAATGGGGGAAAGATCTGAAAAAGCATCACAAACCTGTCTAGTGTGGCTCAGAGGACTGGGCACTGGCCTCAGAACCAAAAGGTTGCAGGTTTGGTTCCCCCTCAGGGCACACGCCTGGATTGAGGCCCAGGTTCCCCAGTTGGGGGCGTGCAAGAGGCAGCCAATCAATGTACCTCTCACACATTGGTGTTCCTCTTCCTCTCTTTGTCCCTCCCTTCCCCTCTCTCTAAAACGTAAATAAATACGATCTTAAAAAAAAGAAGCATCACAAAGGCAGAAATCCAGCTAGCCAATAATCATAAGCCAATAATCATGGCAAAAGGACTAACCACTTCAGTAATCAGTAAATGTGGTTAGCTGAAACCAAACCACAATAATGATACACTGCACACCCACCAGATGGCAACAAAGGTTTGACAGTGGCAACTGTTGGCAAAGATGGGAAGCAACAGAAACTCTCAAGTACTGCTAGCAAGTGTACAAACTAATGTGACCACTTGGGAAACAGTTTGGCATTATTTAATAAATTTGAAGATATGTGTTTCATTGTCCAGCAAGTCCACTCCTGGGTCTGTACCCAGAGAAGTCACGCATATATGCATCAGAAACACGGTATAACAATATGCAGATTAGCACTGGATCTAGCAGCTAACAAGATATATAAATTGTGAAATAATAACACATGGGAATTCTATAGTGAACTAGAGATAACTACAGGAACTTAGAAGAATGTTACAGAGAGGTGACAGAAGATAGTGATAAAGTTCAAAAGCAGGGCAAACTTTAAACTTCTGTGGTTTAGGAATATATAAATAGGTAGTACAACAATAAAAATCAGGATAATGGTCACTTCTAGGTTACTAGAGGAGTGGATGCTGGGAAGGGGGCTTCTGAGACACTTGGCACAGGTGATGTTTCCACAGATACTCATCTGATTTGTTATATTGTACATTTTCACATTTGTATTTTTTTGAATGTGTGTTATAGTTCACAATTAAAAAAGGATTAATAAAGAAACAGTTACTTTCATTGTGGATTTTTTTTTCTTTTAGGTTATCCTCACCTAGAGCTTCAAAAGAAAGGAAAATAATGAACAATGAGCTAAATACCCTGGGTCAACACAATGCTGGTTCATTTTAAATTAAATGTCTGTTTAGAAAATTGTAGTCTCTTTGATTAAAGTATTTTGTAAGAGTCACTGTCATACTCTTTCCATACAAAGCTAGCAAAAGCTGTTTTCAAACTCTACAGGACATAAAAGCAAAATCCTTTGCTATTTTAAAGCAGGTTCTTACCAGGCAGTCTGCCACACACAGCATGTTTTCTTTGCAGTGGCCGAACAACAGCTCCCTCTCCTGCACAACCACCGCCTCTTCCCAATTTCAAGAATCGCTGCTTTTGAGATGGAGCAATCAGCTTATCTGGCATAGTAAGACTGGCATTACCTATTTATTTTATTTCTGTTCCCAAAGCTAAGCAAGAGTTTCCATTTGGTTAGAGAACCCTAATGTAAACTATTTTTCAACTCTAACAACACAACTGTAGTTTTGATCTGTGGTTGGGCCTCATGTATGCAGAGGGCCATCTTAAGGTATTCTCAGGTTTCTAACTGCACAAGTAGTTATCACTTCCAACCCTCACACTGGTCATGGGTCAACTGTGTGTGTGCGTAAATATTTAAATACATATACACACACACAGATATACAGGGTGGGGCGAAAGCAGGTTTACAGTTGTTTGTATGGGAAATAGCACAATAATTAATAAATAATAATATAAGAATAAACTCTGTGTTTCATGTACTCACAACCATAAACTTACTTTTTCCCCAACTTGTATATAAACAGATATATACATGTATATACACACATATGTATGTCTAAAACCAACTGGACAATCCTTTAGTCCCTAGGGTAATTAAGGTAGGTTCTCCCCCTGATAGGAGAATGAGAAGGAAATGTGATTGAGACGAGACGAGTTCTAACTGAGAAACGAGGAGGGAGACAATGTGAAGCATTTCGCCTACTGGTGCTATCACTTGAGCCCCCACACAGCGTACCTTGGCTTGCTTGATCGCTCTCTTGTTCTCTTTTCAGAGTCATTTTTCTGCCACTCATCTGAGCACGCAGTGCTTGAATTTCAGATAACAAGCTCCTTCTATCTGCTTTCTGAAGGCATTCCATAGCTGCTCGATATTCAATACTCTGTAAAAATGTAAAGTGAAAAATCAAGTGAAGACAGTTATAAAGACAACAAAATTAACAACCAGGAATCTGAAGAAGAATGAATGATATACAAATGCTAAAATTTTGAAAAGAAATGATTAATTTTCTCTTCCTCCTCATTAGGATTTACTTCTGGTTACTAATCTTAACATTTATTTTGAAATTCTTCAAACACACAAGACAACGTGAAGAATACTATAATAAACACCCATGTCCTTAGCCTAGAAAATAGCACCTATACGATCAAAACCCCTGTATGTAACCCCCTGAATACATCCTCCCCTGCACTGCCTGCTCAGGAAATAACCAAATTCTAAGTCTTCTAATTTCATATTAAATTTTATCTTCTAATTTTTATATTACATTATATTTTTTAATCAAATTCATATCTTCTAATTCTCTGTATATTGTTACATACACACATGCTAAATAATATACAATGTTGTTTTTTGCATATTTGAAGCTTTATATAAATGGCATCATATTGTATTTATCTTGATGTAATTTGCCTTTTTCACAACATTTTGGTAAACCAATGGGTTGACACATGTAGCCCTCATTTCAGTATTATGAGGGGCACCCAATAATTCCAAGACTTATTTATAAAAAATTATTATTCTTACATGTTTAAACTTTAGTCACCTTCAAAGTACAATTTGATGCAATACACCTATCAACATGTTTTTTTCTACTGTTTACAACAGTTTTTGAACTCGTTGATTCTGATACCTTTTAATCCTTCTGATGTTTTTGGTTTCACTTCTTCCACATGGGCAAAACATGTCCTCTGAGGACTTTTTTCACAGGGAAACACACAAAGTCCCTTGGGGTGAGATAAGATGAATAGGGAGTGTGGGCCATGGGGGTCATGCCGTTTTGGGGTCAAACACTTCTGAACACTCGGTGTGGTCGGGGCAGGTGCACTCATAAATCACCCATTGTGAAATGGGCAAACATAGTAAAAGTCTTCAAAAAGATTCACTGAAGCTGAACACAGCCTCTCACACCACCAGCTGGTGCACTATTACAGACGGGTTCCTAGAACACCCACCTACTGGGGGAAGCCTGTACTACAAGGGGTCCGCCCTCTAGGAGCTAATTGTTATTTTTGGGTCCTCCCTCATATCTAGTATTCCATAGTATGAATAATATACTATATTTTATTTGAGCATCTTTTTATATATTTATTGGATATTTTTAATTGTCTTCCATGAGATTGTCCATTTACATCATTTGTCCACTTTTCCATTGGTTGTTTTAACATCATTGGATAATTGGTCGGTATTTTCCTTCTTGTAATTTCTTTGTCTGGTTTTGGAATCAGAGCAACAACTGTCCTCACGGAATGGGTTGGGAAATGTTCCCTTCTCTCTTTTATTTTGATGAGTTTATGAAGGATGAGTCTTAACTCTACTAAACATTTGGTAGAATTCACCAGTGAAGCCATCTGATCCTAGGCTTTTCTTTTGTGAGAAATTTTAGAATTAGTAATTTAACTCTTTATTATAGATCTATTAGATTTTTATTCTTTTCATGAGTTTTGATAGTTTTTAAGTTTTAGGAATTTGTCCATTTAATGCTATTGTAATTCATTTTTTAAAAATAACATTTACTGAGAAATCAGATTTTTACATCTTGATCTTCTATGCAGCAAAATTTAAAACTTTATCAATTCTAAACATGTGTGTGTATAGATCCTCTTCAGTTTTTTATGTAAGTGAGTAAGGGGTCTTCTCCACCCCTTACTCTTACTTATTTCTCCTGCTTTGCCAGCTAAACATTAGGTCACTAAATATTCAGTAGTAGGTTGAACAAATTACTGAACGCTTTATTAAGAAATATTTTTAACATTTAACTATAAGATATGTTTGTTGTAGGTTTTTGCTAGGCATAATCTTAGTTTGATAAATTTTTTTTAGTTTATTTGCTTTAAGGTAATATTTTAAAGTATAAAATTCTTCATTCTAATTAAGTAATTAATTAGCCTTATCTCTTGAGGTGATCACTGTCTCTTTTCCCCCTTTAATTTGTTAAAGTAATGAGTCACATGAGTTATTTTTAATGGTAGCCACCTTTGTAACTCTGAATAAGTGAAAGGTAGTTGTGTCTTTAAAAATATGTGCATTGGTGAATTTGGTATGTTAGTATTTCACTGAGGATTTCTGCATCTGTGTTCAGGAATAAAATAGGCCCATGTTTTTTCTTTCCTCTATTACCTTTATCTGACTTTGGAATAGGGTTACACTAGTCTCCTCAGAAAATGATAGGGCATGCCTCAAATCATCCGACAGTGAGGAGCCCATGTGTAACTCGGGAGTTAGCTGCTCCCTGAGTGCATGGCAGACTTCTTCACCTGTAAAACCATTTGGACTTGGTATAATTCTTGCAGGTAGATTTTAAAAATGTTTTTAATTTCATATTTTGACATAATTTCACAGAGATGATCCAAAAATTGTGTATGGAATCTCATGTGTTCTTCACCCAAACTACCCAAATGTTAACCATGTTTGATTTACCATTCTCTCTCTACATAAACGTGTGTGTATCTACACACATCCACACACATATCCTTATTTTTCTTTTTCAAAATGTGTGAGAATATGTTGCAGGCAGATGTTCCTTTATCCCTAAAAACTGCAGTGTGTATCTCCTAAAAACAAGAATATTCTTTTAGCCCTGGCTGGCGTAGCTCAGTGGATTGAGTGCGGGCTGTGAACCAAAGTGTCGCAGGTTTGATTCCCAGTCAGGGCACATCACTGGGTTGCAGGCCATGGCCCCCAGCAACTGCACATTGATGTTTCTCTCTCTCTTTCTCCCTCCCTTCCCGCTCTAAAAATAAATAAATAAAATCTTAAAAAAAAGAATATTCTTTTAGAAACCACAGTGCGATTATCAAAGCAGAAATTAACCTAATATAACCCAGTATAATGTATAAAGCTTATTTAAATTTTGCTACATGCCCTAACTAGCAAAAGGGAAAAATTGGTATTTTTTATAAATCTTTGCCTTTTGTGACCTTAAATTTTTGAAAAGTACAGGCTAGTAATTTTGCAGTAGGTCCCTCGTTTTTGAAAACTTTTTGTTCTGAAATAATTTAAGACAAAGTTGTCGTGTACCCTTCAGCCAGCCTTCCCTAGAAGTATCTTATGTACTTATAGCACATTATGAAAACCAGAAAGCTGACATTGCTACAGTACCACTTAAGCTCCAGGGTTTATTCAGATACCATTAGTTTTTAAATACACTTGTCAGTGAATCGGTATATAGTACTGTGAAATTTCACCACCTGCACAGGTTCATGTAACCACCACCACAGTCATGATACAGACTGTTTCATCACCACAAAGAAACTCCTTTGTAGCCACACCCTCTTGCCACCTAACTCTTAACAACCACTGATCTATTCTCCATCACTGTAATCTTGTATTTTCAAGAGTATTATATAACATATATTGAGGGTATCAATCACTTGTTCCTTTTAAATTGCTGAGTAGTATTTCACTGTATGGATATGCTATACTTTGTTCATTCATTCACCTGTCAAAGGATATTTTGGTTGTTTCCAATTTTTGGCTGTTACCAACAGATCTGCTATGAATATTCGTGTATAGGTTCTCATGGAGACATAAGTTTTCATTTCTGTCAGATTAAATACCTGTGAGTGTGACTTCTGGGTTATATCATAAGTGTATTTTTACTTTATAAGAAACTGCTAGATGATTTTCCAGAGTGGCTCTCCCTTTTATATTCCTGAAACAATGCATGAGAGATGCAATTTCTCTGTCAGCACTTGGTGTTGTCACTAGTTTTTATTTTGGCCATTCTGATACAGTGTAGTGGCCTCAACTTGTTTTTGTCTAACATGTCTCAATGAGTAGATTTTAATTATACACAAGAGATGCCGTGACCTTCATATTGAGAAGTATATGATGTCTGTCTGTTCCATTTCTGGTGACAGTAACTAATCACTTGGATAAGGTAGTATCTGAAGATCTCCACTGTAAAGTTACTGCTTTTCTATTTGTTAACTGAAAAGGATTTTTCTGGGGATTTGAGAGTTTATAAATATACTTTCCTGATCATATTACTATAGTTTTAATAAAGGGTGATTTACAAATTCCATCATTTCTCCTACATGCTAGTTGGCATTCTACCATTAAAATTTTTGTTCATTTATTATACAGTATAAACTCATGAATTCTTATTTTACCCTTTGTTTTCAAATGTTATTCTCATTATTTTTTATCATTTTTTATTTTCAATTACAGTTGACATACATTACTGTACTGGTTTCAGGAGTAAATCCTAGTGATTAGACATTATATAACTTCAGTAAGTGATCATCCCAATAAGTCTCACACCCATCCGACACCATACAGTTACTTGAATATTATTGACTGTAATCCCTGTGCTGTACTTTACTTCATCAAGACTGCTGTAACAACCAATTTGTACTTCCCAATCCCTTCACCTTTTTCATCCCCCCAAATCCCCTCCCATCTGGCAACTGTCAAAAGGTTCTCTGTATCTATGAGTTTGTTTCTGTTTTGTTTGTTCATTTAATTTGTCTTTTTAGATTCAATTGTTGACAGATGTGTATTTATTGCCATTTTATTGTTCCTATTTTTGAAATTTTTCTTCTTAAAGGAAACCCTTTAACATTTCATATAAGACTGGTGTGGTGGTGATGAACTCCTTTAGCTTTTTCTTTTTTAAAAAGATTTTATTTATTTACTTTTAGAAAGAGGGTAAGGGAGGGAGAGAAATATCAATTTGAGAAAGAAACATCAATTTGCTGCCTCACATATAAACCATGAATGGGGACCAAACCTGCAACCCACATATATTCCCTGACTGGGAACTGAACCAAAGACCCTTGGTTGATGGGACAATGCTCCAAGCAACTGAGCCACACTGGCTAGTTGACTGGCAGTCACTGATAGTCATAGGGGTATTCTTGTAAGTAACTGCTTTCAAGATTCTCTCTTTGTCTTTAAAGTTTTGTATTTTAATTATGCTGTGTCTTTGGTGTGGGCCTCTTTGATTTCATCTTGTTTGGGACTCTTTACGCTTTCTGGACTCGTATGTCTATCTCCTTCACCAGTTACTGAAGTTTTCTGTCATTTTTTCAAATAAATGTTCAATTTCTTGCTCTCTTCTCTGTCTAGCACCCCCAATGCAAATGTTGGAAAGCTAGAAGTTGTCCCAGAGGCTCTTTACACTACCCTCATACTACCCTCATATTTTTGGGTTCTTTTTCCTTTTTGCTCTTCTGATTAGGTTTTTTGTTTTCTTCTGTATATTCGAAATTGCTGATTTGATTCTTGGCTTCATCTACTCTACTGTCGATTCCCTGTACATTATTCATTTCAGTTAGTGCATCCTTCACTTCTGACTAGTCCTTTTTTTGTGCTGTTGAAGGCCTCACTGAGTTCACTGAGCCTCCTTATAACCAGTGTTCTGAGCTCTGCACCTGATAGATTGCTTGTCTCCATTTTGTTTAGTTCTTTTTCTAAAGTTTTGCTCTGTTCTTTCATTTTGGCCATGTTTCTTTGTCCCTTCATTTTGGCAGCCTCCCTGTGTTTGTTTCTATGTACTAGGCAGAGCTGCAACGTCTCCAGGCACGGTATGGTAGAGTGGCCTAATGTAGTAGGTGTCCTGTAGGGTCCAGTAGCACAGCCTCCCCAGTCACCCAAGGTGTGAACTCAAGGTGTGTCCCTTGTGTGGGCTGTATACCCTCTTCTTGTAGTTGAGAATTGACTGTTGTTGGTAGGTCAATGGGAGGGATTAACCCAAGCCAGTCAGCTACAAAAACTGACTACCAACCTCCGACCACCATGGAGGATCAGCTGTGCAGGGGCCCACTCCATGGAGCTGGACTTACTTCAGTAGAGCTCTGGTGCCCGCTGAGTGTGCCTCTTGAGTGTGTTGCTTGTGGAGGAGGTTGGGTTTGACATGGTCTGAAGCTATCTACTGGGTGTGCTGGCTCTGGTGCCTCCTGGGAGGTATAGGCCAAGGTCAGCCTCTGCTTGTGTTGTGACTGGGGCCACCTGGCATGAACTACAAAGCAATCTGCTGATGGCTGCTACTTGTGCTGGGCTTTCAGGTACCCATGTGAGACCAAGCTATGAACTAAGGCTGGCTGCTGCTATTGCTGGGCCTGGGGCCACTTAGTGAGAGGGTATGCTGAGGACAGATGCTGCTTCTTTCAGAGATTTTAGAAAAGTATGAGGCATGAGCCAAGACAAAAAAAAAGCCACTTGTGTGGAAAAGCCACTGAGAATAGCTTTCACTTTCATTATTTTGTTTGATGTTCAAACTGTCCTAAATTTAGCCAGAGGAAACTCCTTCAAGCTGGCTTCTATGACTTTTTGACATATCCCCTTAATTCTTTCAGCAATTCCTTGTTAGCAAAATGAGATACTTCATCTTGTACTTTCCCTGCTCCTGCCTTGGAATCAGCCATTTCTCTAAGAAGTCCTAGTTCCTTTTGATGGAGAATGTATTTAAAAAAAAAATCAAGATCTGGGTGCTAAGTGTTATGAACTGATTTTAAAAAAAATTCCTAAATATTGCTATAGTTTTTTATTTAAAGATTTTATTTTTATGGAGGGGAAGGGAGGAAGAAAAAGAGGGAGAGAAATGTTGATGTGCAAGAGAACATCCACTGGTTGCCTCTTGCATGCCCCAAACTGGGGACCTGGCTCACACCCCAGGCATGTGCCCCAACTGGGAAATGAACTGGCAACCCTTCAGTTCACAGTCTGGGGCTCAATCCACTGAGCCACACCAGCCAGGGCTGTGAACTGTATTTTTTAAAAAAGATTTTTATTTATTTATTTTTAGAGAGAAGGAAAAGGAGGGAGGGAGAGAGAGAGAGAAACATGATGTGCGAGGAATATGAACTGATTTGATTCCTTTATTATTTACAGACCTTTTCAAGTTTTTTATTTTTATCTCTTTGGTAAGAGATATTTTTCTAGAAAACCTGTCTATTTCACTGAAGTTTTTTCATAAGCACAAAATTATTCATGACATTCCATTACTTCTATATCTCAGGTTGTGTATCTTTGGTTGTGATCCCATTTTCATTCCTAACTTTTAAAAGAGTGTGCTTTACCTTTTTTCCTTAACTAATCCTCCAGAAAAGTTTATTATACTAGCCTTTCAAAGAGTCAGTTTTTATTGTTTTTATCCTCTATTGTACAACTGTATGTATTTTACTAATGTCTTTTACTTATTATGGTTGAGTCTCATTATTTGGGGATCATGTATTTATAAATTTGCCTATTCACTAAAATGTACTTGTGCCCCTAAAATCAATGCCTGCAGTGTTTTCACAGCTTCTGCACACATGCAGCAGCAAAATGCCAGGGGTGCACGTTCCTGGCTGAAGTTAAACAAGGTGACGCAGTGCCTTCTTTTTTCATCCCTTATATTATAAACACATGTCCTACCACCCATTTATAGTGCTGTTTTTTGCACTTCTGTGCTCTTTATTGGTGATTTTACTGTTTCAAATGGTCCCCAAGCATAGTAATGAAGTACTATGTAGTGTTCCTAAGTACACATGTGTTAGATAAGCTTCATTTAGGCAAGAGTTGCAGTCTGATGAGCATCAGTTCAATGTTAATGAATCAACAACATATAGTAAATATAGTGTGTTTAAACAGAACCACACATAAAATAAGGTCATATATTGCTGGTTGACAAAAATGGCACGATTAGGGGGCCACAGAAACTGACTCCTCTACTTCCTTTAGTAGCAATGGCTCACTATTCATGGCAACTTCACAGAACCTAACTACTGCAAATTGTAAGAACTAACTGTATCATATCCCTTCTAATATTTTTGGGTCATTTTGTTTCTCTTTTTCAAACTTCCCAAGTTGGAGGATTAGCTCATTAATTTTCAATATTGCTAATTTTTTAATGTAAGATAAAAATACGGTAATAATTTTTCTTCTAAATATTCTTAATAGTTACTGTTAAAATTTTAAACTTTAGATTTCCTATAAAACTAATCAACAATTCATTTTATTACTGTTAAAAAGCATTCTTTAAGTTTGATGTAAAGTTTTATTTTGATACCTGTTCTTGTATTCTTTGTTCCAAACAGTTTAATAATCCAGCTGCATCTCTAGTGCCTAGAGCTGTCAGTTCAGTCTGAAATGCAGCCAGTAAAACACTGCGCTCCTTTAAGAAAACTTGCTGAAGGGCAAGCAGAAGTTCACCTCGCCAGTCTGAGAAGTTCTCATGAGACTGAGAACTGTCATAAACCTAGCAGAGTATAAAAAACAAAAGTTAGCTCCAAATAAGCATGTATAAAAAGGCTCTAAAAAGGATATTTATCTGCTCACCTAAACAAATGTGAATAAGAGCACACGAACCTAAGCATATGTGAATTTATTTTCAAATATGTGACTTGGGGTGTGTAAATTAATAAAACACCTCACAAACATCAATTTAATTTGTGAACTGCCTTAAAATCGATACATATTATATAAAACTATTTAGAAGCATAATAATCTTGAGTACCTCAGCTTCTCTTTGCACCTGCATCTTGGTAATTAAATCCTTAAGAGAAGAGATTGTACTGAGATAAGCTTTTCTCTCTTCTTGCCAAGATTCTGAAACTTGCTCAACAGAATGGTCCTCTCCATCACTATAGGGAGACTCGGTGAGAGAGAGCACCTGCATGCCTTCATTATGGACAGCTCTCAGTAATCCCTAGAAGCCAAAACCCAAAAGCCAGAATTATTACAAACCGCAAAGACTACAAAGTCAAAGGGAACTTTTAGCAAGACAGCTTTATACTTACTTAGATTAATTTAGAAAAGCCACTGCAGATAGGAAACACCATCCTATCCTCTCCCTCTGGAGGGGGAAGCCAATCTCAAAAGACAGCCTATGACATTATACTGTCTATTTATCTAATGTGTTCTTCTTGGATTTAATAACTAGACACTAATTTGACCAAAAGAAATATGTAGGAGATAAGTTCTAGTCCTTGAAACTACTTTAATAATTTTGACAAACAAAAATTTCAGTAACAAAAATTTAAAAAAAGTCTGTATACAAATATATTGTGCTTTATTATCTGTAAAATATGGGAATAAAACTAAACAGATCTCCAAGATTCCTTCTAGGTCTGCAATTCTCTCTCCATAGAGGTTCTTACTATATAACTTTAAATACACTATTATGTTCAACATAGAAACCACAGTAAGTTTTACTAAAGATATCTGTCTTTTAGTACCTTTATTTTCTTTGGGAATGAATCTGTTGAACTTTCACCTTCTTCTCCTCGGCCTTCTGATGCTGAGTCAAATCCCTGACTTTGTGTAAGGTAAATTCCCTGACCCCAGTCTGATCCAGAATCTAGAATAAAGAAAACCACTGACTATTAAACAAATATTTTTTATACAAGTACTATATAAATTCCAGAAATTTATGTTTAACTTACCACTAGAACATATTTCTCTAGTTTGGTAAGCCTCAGAATGTGTTAATTCAGGAATTGAGGCTCCCTAATTGGAGAAAACAAACAAAAAATACATAACTCTCTTTGTTTCAATACAAATAGGGTCCCATAAATAATTTTGTTCTTTGTAATGCTGTTAAAAAATTCACCTAAGTTTGTCACACCTTTTTAAAATAAACAAAACTATCCATGGCTTACATCAAGTGTAATTTTTCTTCATGGGCACTACCATAATAAGAAACATTCACGAATTAAGGAACAGTAACATCAGGCTCCAAATCTGCACAGGGACTTTGTGGAAAGTTAGTATCTGACTTTCCATAATGGAAAAACTTACAATTGTAATTTTATCATAATGAAGAGATTGTCCTCTGGCTGGCGTAGCTCAGTGGATTGAGCACAGGCTGCGAACCAAAGTGTCGCAGGTTCGATTCCCAGCCAGGATACATGCCTGGGTTGCAGGCCATGACCCCCAGCAACCACACATTGATGTCCCCCGCCCCATCTCCCTCCCTTTCCTCTCTAAAAATAAATACATAAAATCTTAAAAAAAAAGAGATTGTCCTAAATTTCTTTTCCTCTTAAAACCACTTAATTTTAGGGGGGAAAAATATCACAGAACACTGAAAAGCACGTTATGAAAACCAAATACCTCTTTAGACTTCAGGCACTGTATCACTGCCTTCAAGGTACGACATTCCTCTGACAGTAACTGGACAGCAACATAGTGCTCCCTCTTTAAGGTTTCAGTTTCTGAAATATGTCTGGATTCCATATCCAAAATTTCAGCAGCATGCAGCTCTTGCATTTGCTCAATTTTTTCAGTAAACTGATTGATTATTTCAGTAACTTCTTCTGATGGACATTCGCTCTGTAAATCAATTTGGATTCCTGCATTTCTGACATGGATTTGTGGAGTCTGATTGCTGCTATTGACCTTGAGAGTCCTGTCTGTCTGGGATCCGGCACTTTTACCCTCTTTAATAGGAAACGGCTCTAATATGAATAGCTTTCTGTTTTCTTGTACCTCAATCTTTTCTTCTTCTAAGAAGTAGGATAATTTCTCTTTTGCCTCTGTGAGTTGATTCCTAACTTCACTTAAATCTTTCTGGAGAAATGCCATATTTGTTTCTTTCACCTAAAAACACAACAAATAGAACAGTAGAACATCTAGTTAAAATATCGAACATAAAATTTAGGGTTGAGAGGAGAGTATAATTCCTACTAATATGTTCATTTTCCTCAGAATAATAAAAAATCCAGAAACACTCATAGTCTCCATATGTATTTCTATATATAAGTATATGGCCACAGATTACCATAGAGATAAAATCATTTTATCAGCCTCTACTTTTAGTTCTCATGGGAAATATAAACTTTCTTTAACATCTGTCCTTCTCCTCCTTCATTAATAGAGATTAAAAGTATCTTCCTAATGAAGATTCTAAGGCAAATCAAGCAAGAAGATGCTAGCAAAGAAATTTATAATAACTTTTCATCAAATTCACAAAAGCTTTTATTTTTTTCTAGTTTTAAATTATGGATTTGGGTTTGTTTTATAGAAAAGAATATAATTTAAATAAAATTAAGATAGGTAGAAACAAGTGAATTAGGAGCTAAGTTACTTATTTTACCAAAAGCTCTTCTTGAAGTTTTTCTGCCTTTTCTTTGTAACTGGCAAGTTCTTCTTTAGTAGCTGCTGACTCAGCTCTGAGAGCCTCAAGCTGAACAAAAAATCCACTTTCTTCACTGGTATGAATTAGCTCAGTAGTTGCCTGTATGGCAGTGGAAGAGTATAAGAAACATATCATTTTCAAAAAATATAGCAAAGTTCAAGGCAATATACATTCTAAAGAAGCTTTTTTAAAAAAATCAGGAATGACTGCCTATCAGATAAACGGGGTTGAAATGATCCATGTTTGTTCAACAAATAGAGAAAAATTTTCAGAACCATTATTTTGTATTTTGGGGAAAGAGAAGAATAATTTTCTAGAAGTGAAAGGTAAATACTCTCATTGTATATATACTAAAATTTATAAATTATTACTTAATATTTTTGGTACTTTTGAAAAACTTTCATATTTATATCACTTTTCTTAAAAGATACTAGGTATTACTAAAATAGTTCTTAGAAGTTTTATATACATGGAAAGTCACATTTAATTTTAATATTCATAGTTTATACTTCCAGTAAGCCTAATAGGAAGAAAAAGCCTAATAAATGAAAAGAATTATCATTTGCAAAATAAATTATATTTATAGAATCCTGATATATCAGTTAATCTCCTGGTGATCAGATTAAGATGGCACAATTACTATACAAAATTCAAAATACATAAAGTGAGAATTTGAAAGCTAATGTCTTTTCATATCAGTCCTATGCTAAGAAATAATTGTGATTTCAGGTCTTTACCTAAGTAGATTTATAAGGGTGAAATGCAAATTTTTCACAGAAAAGAATAAAATTTATTATCAAGTATAAAATCTGCAAAAGCTAAGTATTCCTCATTCATATGTTAATTCAGTAGAACACTAATATATTTTGATATTTTCTATTACCTGAAAGGGATGATCACATAACATGCATGTTAGAGGGAAAAGGAAAAAACCCACACAAGTTCCAGAGGACATTTGCTAAACTTAACATTTCTAAATTCCTTCTGACTACTCTATTTAATAACTATGCTAGTTAAATTACAAAATATAGTTTGTATCATTTATTCTAGTGATAATTAATTGTATAGAATAGTAATATTTTTATAAAATGCTTTATATGTACCAATTGCTACATGTGAAGAATAACATTTAATTTAGTAAATTAGCAGTCAGCTTAAGGAATAAAGGAAAAGAGAGTTTCTTAGGTTATTTAAGTGAAAAAAAAAATTAAATACAAACTAACCTTGGGAACTTCAAAATCTCCATGAGGGCTTCTTTTCCTTTCTTTGCCTCCCTGTTCTTTCTCACTGTCCTCCAATAGCTTCTGTAGTTCTCGTAGCTTTTTCTCTTTTTCCACAGCATTTTTCTCTGCGATTTCTACCTGTTCTTTTTCTAAAATCAAACTGGTCTGCATTTCAACCACCTGGCTTTCTAATTCTGATATTCTCAAGGTTAATGCTGATACATCTGACTTCATTTCATTTTCTGTCAGTTGATTTAAATTCTGTATATTTGCTCTTTTGGGCTCTGATGAACTCTCCTGTTCACTTTGACAGAGTTTCACATATTCCTTAACTGCGTCAAGTTGGACCTGACTCACAACAGCAGCAGCAACATTTTCCTCGAGTACAGTCTGAAGGTCTACAATCTTCTTTTTAAGCATTTCTGTTTCAGCCTGGACTTGTTCTCGCATGTCCTTTATTTGTTTATAACACTGGGTAAGTTCTAAGTTCTTTGCACTCACAGTACTCTCAAGCTGTAGCACCTTTGTTTCCAAACTGTTTATGGAAACTCTACTGTTCTCTTCCACAGATCTGAGGGAAGACTGATTTTCCAGGGGCTGAAGAGCACCCCCAGTAAGGACTTCTTCTAGTTCAGGTTTCTTTCTGCTCAGATCATCTACAGCCACATTATCACTTTTCAGTGGTATACTTTGGATTTTTTCCCTATTTTCCCATTCTCTCTTTAAGCTGCATAGTTCTTGTGTTAACTGGTTCATTTTTAAATTGGTTTCTTTAAGTACATTTTTAGTAAAGGCCATTTCTTCATTAGTGGTTTCTACTTGCTGTTCCAAAGCCAGTTTTTCAGCTATTACCATATCCAGCTGATGTTTTAAACTATCTGCTTCTTCTGGGACAGAATTAGCATGCACTGATGTTTTTTGTTCAATATTTGCCAATTCCTGTTGAAGTTTTTCAATCACTTCATTAAGCTGCTCAATTTCTTCCTCTCTGTTTTTCTTCACACGTTCTTGATCACTCATCAAACATTCTATTTGGGTTTCAAGATCCCTTATCAGCTCATTTTTTTCTTCAATAACCTATTAGTTAATGAGAAAAAGGTAGCACACACAATAAATATGTATTTATCTTTGAGAATTCAATTTTATTTTAGGGCAAGATCTTCAAGCACTGATCACACAATATAGTTCTTGAACATGTTACATTAACTTAATATAGGCCCTCATATCAAAGAAGGACCTAAATTATATACCTTCATACAGAAAGTTCTGTTAAATGTAAAATGATTTACACTTTTAGTAGCTGGTTTCCCATAAGTAAAATAGTCAATATCAATATAGAAAAGAATGAAGTATTTTCTAATAGAAAAGAATGAAGTATTGAAACAAAAACAGTCTACAGCAGATGGAACCCAAGTATCATCTTATTTAACTCATATCAAACAGTAGAATTTTTAATAGGTTGGTTAGAATGATATGATGAACGCTTAAGTCACCAGAGACTCCCTGCAAAACATGAAAAATCTCTGACAATATCAGGAGATGACAAAAATATAGTTAGCTTGTTATATTGAAATTAATGGGCAAAGTGCGTGGTGTGGTAGGGTGAAAATTGAAACAAGTGTACTTGAACAAAAATACAAAAAAAAATTAAAGGTAAAGGAAATTAAGGTTTACTTGGTTTTACATTTAAAGAGGAAAGGAGAAAAATCACTCTTTAGCCCTTTAAAATTCTAGCTTAAATTAACTTCATGTAACTATCAATTTTAAACTAGTGTACCTTGTTATCTGTTGTCATTTTAAGTTGATGCTGAAGTTTTGTAATTTGTTCATTCAACTGGTGAATTTCTACCTCTTTTTCCTGCATTATTTGAGCAAATCTGCTGAACAACACATGTTGGTCCTGAGTAGAGATAGCATCAGATTCCTTTATGGCAAATCCCAGTTTCTCCATTTCATCCTAGGGATAAAAATACCCATCCTAGTTGGACAGATCATTACACGTGATTTTTACACTTTCTTTCAATCAACTCTTACAAAAGATATAGCACTCAAAAATGTACAAATTAAAAAGATTCAGAGATGATATAATTATTGTAAATCAGTAGTTCTTAAAATATTTTGATAAAAGGTCTGAAACTTTTTTCATTTATGATGAATTCAAATGTTTCTGCTGGCTTGAAAACAAGTTTCATGCAAATCTATTTGCAGCTAGTGTTCCTCTGTTAAGTACTACTTAGCAAATGGGTTTAGCAACTACTTAATACTAATGTTTGCACAGGACAAAAAACTATGAATTATTTATGGGCAAAGTTTTTCTTAACTAGTTACCTTAAATAATTTGTTTTCTTGTTCAAGTTCTTGTAGGCGGGTAGTTGATTCCTTTTTCTGTATTTCTAATTGCATATGTAGTTGCTGAACTTCTTCATTCTTATTTTCCAGTTCTTCTCTAAACTGCTCTAACTGTTCTTCTAAGTTTGTGATCTTAGATACCAAAATTATCAAAAAGAAGGAGAAAAAAAGTTATACAAATGTTTGTCAAGAGAAAATAAAGAATACTGTATCAGTTCTACAAAGTGTGTATGCTTAAAATATGTGAGCCATGAAAATAAAGAAAAGGCGTTTCTCTAAGTCAGGTGTAGCTGTGGCTTCTAGACTTTTTCAAACTTAACAGCTTTAAACCATCCTGCCCAAAGCAAAGAGGAGACCTTCAGAGGAAGGATACAGGAGCTGTTTCCTACCTAAAAATGTCCTCAGATAAAGTAGAAAAGAATCATGGGAAAAAGGGAAAAGTCTACATTTAAGATCTTATTTTATGATAAATTAAGTTTCCATCAAAAGGTTAAAGAAAGCCCTGGCAGGGTGGCTCAGCTGGTTGGGGTCTCATTCTGTGCCCCAAAATATTGAGAGTTAGATGCTCATCAAGGTGTGTACGGGAGGCAACCAATTGATGTTTCTCTCTCACATCTACGTTCCCCCCCACACCCTCACTCCCTTTCTCTCTCCGCGCACCCCCCCCCCCAAAAAAAATCAATAAATATATCTTTGGGTAAGGACTTAAAAAAAAGATAGAAGAAAGCTGTACAATTAGTCAGTTATTTTCACCACCAGGTAAGAATAGCTCAATTTAGTTCATATTAATGCCCAATGAAAGATCTGGCTGCCATGTACCTTGTTTAAGGAGAAAGAAGCAGAGGTGGAGTTCTGAAATATAGAAACTTAGAAACTGAGGTAGCGAGTAAATACCATTTTAGGAGAAAACTAGAGTTCCCACATGTAGGTCAATAGAATTTTAGCTCATTTCTGAGGACAGATTAGCATTAATGATAAAGCAATTGCTCTTTGATGGCTGTACAGACTGAAACTAACAAAAAACCATTAGGAGCTCTTTAATGTCATATTTAAAAAATTGGGTTTCTTGAGGGAAGGATCAATTATTTAGCTCACTGCTTTGTAGCTATTTATAAATATTTAACGAATGGATTTGCAAATGTGTATTCACCTGATGATCAAATTGCTGCGTTAGAAACAACCTAAGATGCGGGAGTAGCCTTTAGTGGTGGCTGGCTCAGAGAGCAGTCTATAAATCATTTCTCCCCTTAGAACCTGAAAGGGGCATAGAATGATTATGCACAGATGTATAATTAGAATCACATCTCAGCACTGGCAAGGCAAAGACCTTCACAACAGTTTAGCCTAATGCCTCCTTAACAGAAACAGTACTGATACTAGTCATTACAGCCAGCATTTATAGACAATTTACTGTTAGGCTCTGCATAAGGTGCTTTATATGTATTATTTCTTAAAAACTCTGTAACAAACACATGAGATCTTTGCTAAGACTACCCCCATTTCAGAGACGAGGAAGGGAGGCACCGAGAGGGAAGAGTCTAGTCCTGAGGTCCGAGCTAGTACGTGGGAGCCAGCTTTTGAACCTGGGGAGTTTCCCTCTGGAGGCTTACTTTTTTTTTTCCCCAAGAGAGAAAGAGCAGTTTCTCAGTCTTGACTTCTTTATATCCTTAGTTACAGAACTTCTTTCTGTCAGCTAGTCCTCAGATGGTTCCCCAGGTTGACTGTTCTGTAATTTAGCTGTAATTGTGGGGTGGTCATAGGCGGAGGCGAGCACAGTGTTTACCTACTCTGCCATCTTGACTGGCTGGAGCCTTAGATTCTCAACTATCATTTATTCTGCTTCTAATAATTAATGCCTAAGACTTATATTTAAATTATTTTCTGTAACACTGGTATTAAAACTCAGTAAACATACCTTAAATACATTTAGGAGCTGTACATGTATAATTATCAGGTTTGTTGAAAATTGAGATGACTGTCTCTTCTTCAGGGTTATGTAATATAATAGTATTTACTCATATCCCTATCTTCTACAACTGTTTTTTGATGACAAGGTATTGTCTCAAGACACAGATATTTAAGTTCAAAATCGCTGCCCTACCTCACATGGTATTTATTTTCTTTTTGATACAAGAGATTAAGGTAAAATACTTAGCCGTGATCCAAAGCTTTGCTTTTCAAAGTGTGGTCCTGGGAGCAGCAAAACTGGCTTCACCCGGGAAAATGTTAGATGTATAAATTTTTAAGCCCCACCCCAGACCTGCTGAATCAGAGTCTTCATTTCAAGAAGATCCCAAGGAGTTTCATATGCACAATAAAGTTCGAGAAGCACTGGTCTAAAGCACTAACTTTCTTGTTATAGACAGCTAAACTCGAAGTATCACAACAGACACTTCAATCCCCCGAAATGACACTGTATGGCATTCTTTCCTTTTACTTAGCTAGACTCCAGTTTCAGTCCCAGGTTGTCTTATTACTCAGTCTATAACAACCCAAAACTAGATTATTATTAAGGTTTAAAAACAGAACGCTATCTGTTTTAATCTTGTTTAATTTAGCTACCAAGCCCTGGCCCATGTGGCTCAGTTGGTTGGAGTGCCATCCTGTAAACCAAAGGGTTGCAGGTTTGAACCCCGGTTAGGGCACATACCTTGGTTGTGGGTTGAGTCCCCAGTTGGGGCATGTGCAGGAAGCAACCAATTGATGTCTCTCTCTAAAAGCAATGAAAAAATGTCCTCAGGTGAGGATAAAAAAAAATTATGGTAGCTAGCAAAGGATAGCTATGTAGTTGCTGATTCTATTGGATTACTTACTTTGCTTCATTTGTGTTTTCTTTTTAAGTATTTTTATTTTTTCAAATGTGTTTGTTTCCTGACTTAATTGTAGATTCCTTGAAATTTGGCGCTTGTTTTATAATTAGACAGTGGTGGTCTAGATGTGGTAAGAGCTCAGTAAATGCTGAATGACAGTCTTTAATACTTATACACCAGCAAGGCAGAACATGCTCAAATGCTTTTGCAGTACAGCATTACAGAGTTCCAGAATCAGAGAAATAAATTTGAGGAATTCTTGCTCAATCACTTACTGTGTGACCATGAGCAAGCTACTTAACCTTCCTTAAGACTCAGCTTACTCATCTGTAAAATAGAGATGACAATGTAGTCGATGGTCAGGGACAGCATAAAGATTAATAACTTAGAACATTTAAAATCCTTAGCACTTTCTAGCACAGACTTATACAAAGTTAACTATTTTTTATTTTTGTCATCTGTAAGCTAGATCTCATTAGCTCTATGGAGAGCTAAAACCTACTGAAGTAATCTTTTTTAAAAAAGAAATTCTTAGCCCTGGCTGGCGTAGCTCAGTGGATTGAGCGCGGGCTGCGAACCAAAGTGTCGCAGGTTCAATTCCCAGGCAGCGTACATGCCTGGGTTGTAGGCCACAGCCCCCAGCAACTGCACATTGATGTCTCTCTCTCTCTCTCTTTTTCCCTTCCTTCCCTCTCTAAAAATAAATAAATAAAATCTTTAAAAAAAAAAAGAAATTCTTCCTTCTATTTCTCTTTACATTCTCCTTATCATCCTGAAACTCCTACCTTTTAAAAGTTTTCTTCTCTTTCTATTCATTCTGCTTTCTAAACATTATAATGAAGTTTTACAAATTTAGGCTATAAGAGTAGCCTAAAGGTATCTCAAATAGGACACATACAGACATCTTTGTTTATACTCCAGCAGATACCTGAAATCATTTGCTCAGTGCAGGAGTGAATGCTTAAGCTGTTTTCATTAAAAGACATGTTTAAAATTTTTTAATTTACTGATTTTAGAGAAAGGGAAGGGAGGAGAGAGACAGAGAGAAAAATAGAATGATCTGTTGTTCCACTTATTTATGCATCCATTGGTTGTTCCTTTTATGTGCCCAGATTGAAAATCAAACCCACAACCTTGCTATGTTGGGATGACACTAACCAACTGAGCTATCTGACCAAGGCTGAAAGATACGTGTTTTAATTTTATGTTCCTGTTTTTAGACTCAAGTTACAGGCTGAGTGTGTTCTGATACTGTGCTTGTCATTGTTATTAAAAACTAGTAAACAGGGCCAGCTGTCAGGTTAGCTCTTTAATTACTAAACATGTCTGGCTCTGTGTCACCTGTAAAAACTGGGAGCTGGCTCTCGAAGGTCTCTTGCAGTTCTAAACAACTATGGTTCTGAGTAAAGGTATGCAGTTACTGAGTACTTACTTCAAGAAATTAGGGTGTTAGTAATGTTATATAAAATTCAAATGATAATAAAAATATAAAATTAGTAAACTCAAATCAACTATCCATAATCAACTATCATTGTTTTGGGAGACAGTTTTGAGGTCCATCTTTTTAGGGAAGCAGATAATTTTTTTGACTATTTAGTGTGAAGTAAATCTTTAAATGTTAATTCTTTTCAAAACATATTGAAGTGGTTGCATACCAAAGGGTTCCCTGCCTCTCATGAGAAAACGAAAACACAAATAAACAACAATCTTTTGGATAAACATTAGTACTATGTGTTAGTGAGAAAATAATCCTGCTCATAGAAATGGTTATTTCTATAGATGGATTTTTTTCTCCTCTGAACTACATGTTCTCTGAGCTGTAGTTTTAGCTGTCTAAACCATTCTTACATTTTTCAAAGCACCTGTTAACATTTATGTACTGTTTCAGTTCAATAAATATTTGTTTAAATATATTAAGTGTCCTGGAAAATTATATGGAGAGATAAAAATGAAATTTAAAAAATTTAGAACATTTTATGATATGCTATAGCAGGAAAATGTAGAGTACAATATGTTTTAGAAAGACTAGTAACACTAACAATAGACAAAGGTTTAAATAAGTTATAATTTAATTAGGAATTGAAAATTACTGCTTTAAAAAAAGATTTTATTTATTTACTTCTATAGAGACGGGATGGGAGGGAGAAAAAGAGGGAGAGAAACGTCCATCAATTGTTTCTTACACATGTCCAAGCCAGGGACCGAACCTGCAGGGACCGAACCTGCAAGCCAGGCTTGCGCCCTGACTAGGAATCAAACCAGTGACCTTTCCACTCTGCTGAACAACACCTAACAGAGCCACACTGGTCAAAGTGAAAATTACTACTGTTTTGAATGTAATTTTTGTGGGGGAAGGGAATAGTAGAAAAACCGAATTTTATATAATTACTTTATTATTAATCTTTTGTTTCAAGAATAATTTTAGTATATTATAGAACAACATTATACTCTCCCAGGGCAATACAACTCTTAAAAAAGAAACAATAGCAAAATAGCAATAATGCAAAGCCCATGGGAAGTAAGGTCAGCAGAAAAGAGAGATACTACCTTTGCTGCACTAACAGTACTATCTCCCTACTCTCTTCTCCATTCAATGCATATCTACCAAATCGGCCTCCTTTTTGTCCTCAAAGTCCTTGCTGCATCAAGGCCTTTATACTTGTATCCTCTACTTGGAACATTCTTCCTTACACCAGTGATCTGTTCAAATGTTCACGGTCTTCAAGATTAACATAAGCAATGAGCTAAGAAACAGTCTAAACTTTGGTCTTAGATCATAAAGTCTACTCTGTTCAAATGATATTTTCAAGGTGACTTATTTAAAATAATTCAACCACGTTTTGTCATTAAAAATAAACTCTTTACCTCTTTTTCCTTTCTGTCTATGGCATCTCTTTCAGCCTGCAACTGTACTTCTAAGGACAATTCTGCTTTAGCTTCTACAGCTCCAAATTGTTTTCGGTCCTCTACCTTTAAATATATAAAAATTTATCAAAAGTTCAGACATTAAATATTGATTATCCTTATTAATTAGGATTAAATAGAATTGCTATTTCTCCAATTAGAAGAAGATAAGCTACATTAGCGAATAGTCAAAAAGTTACAGATATTCAGTCTTGAATGTATTTTATACAAATTCAAACAGGAATGTTTGACATTCTTAAAAATTACACCTCAGATAAAATGAGGGCTATCCCCTTACCTGCCCCACCCCAAGCTTACTTACCTTACTTTTCTTTTTCCATTCATTTTTGTTTTTAGCAACATAATAAAAACAGATTTCATTATTTACTAGTCTGGGGTAAAACACCAGCCTAAACTGGTATCCACAGTTTTTTCACTTGGCTATTATTTTACAATCACAACCTTACTGTTGGTTAAAAGGGTACTTAAGTTTTCTGGTTTAACTAATGTTGACTTCTCAGAACTAAAATAAACAGAAATGGTTATAATGTCAATGAAAACATGAAGATACACATACATTATACAATATCAAAAAGTCAATAGCAATTTTTTATTTAAAGAAACTGATGTTTGTGTAAGTAATTTATATGAGAACATACGATCGAAATTAACCCGAAGAAAATGTCGCACCTTCTGAAAAGTGTCCGTACTGATGAGTAAGGCTTGCTCCAGTTCTCTTACTCTGCATTCCAGTTTCTCAATTTCTTCATTCCGTTCTTGTATATCCCGCTGAAGCTGCTCTTTAGAGAGCAAAAGCTCACTGCACTTGTCTGTCTTTTCTTTCAGGTGATTTGTTAACAGTTCAACCTGGAAATACATAATAAACAAAAGCTGTAAACTTAAAAAATTTCAGCAAGTTAATAACACATCTATCCTCATTTCAGAAAGCATTTTTAGATGCCATGCTTATTTTTTCATGAGTAGTAACTATTGTCTCCGATTATGGTGACGTTTTGAGTTGATAAAATTAAACAACACTAGTAGGAGAAATAATATTGCTTTTAACAACATTTTTAAAAAATTCTGAGGACTTCCGGCAAGATGGAGGATAGGTGGACACGCCGTGACTCCTCGCACAACTAAGATTAGAACAACAATAATTTACAGATAGAATATCACTCAGAACTGACAGGATTTATCTGAATGGAAGTTGGACAACCAAGAAGTTGAAGTAGACCCATACATCCAGACTGGTAGGGGACGACGAGCCGGGAGGGCGTGGGGCTGGTGCGGGTTGGCGGCGCGCGGAGGTCGGGGGAAATTTGGCGCGAAATGGGCGCGACAGTCATCCGGGGCACAAGAACGCAGCGGTGATCCCTGAGCACGCAAGCTGCGGCTGGCGGACCCTGTGGGGCAGCGATTGTGGACCAGGGCAGAGCTCGCAGCCCAGGATCCCAAGGAAGGGCCTGAGCCTGGGAGAAACGGAACTACCGCCATTGTTCCTACCCGTCCCTGATCCCACCCCCCTGCCCCACATATAACGTCACAATCTAGCGACTGGGGTGCCCAGCCCCGGTGAACACCTAAGGCTCCGCCCCCCACTGTAACAAGAGCGACCAGAGACAGGGAAAGACAAAAGACATGTTTCCAACAGAACAGATCAGTCCCTGAGGACTCATCCTTTTGAGCAACCAAGAAATAGCCAACCTATCAGATGCACAGTCAAAACACTGGTGATCAGAAAGCTCACGGAATTGGTTGATTTTGGGTGCAAATTAGATGCAAGGATGCAGGTTACCATAAAAGAGATGCAGGAAGATACGCGGAGGAGGGCCAATAATGAAAGGAAGGAATCTGAGTCTCAAAACAATACAGTGGACCAGAAGGAAGATAGAATCAACCAAGCAGGAAAGCATGATGAAATAAGAATTCAAAAAATCGAGGAAAAGCTTAAGAGCATCCAGGACACGTTTAAACGTTCCAACATCCGAATTATAGGGGTACCAGAACAGGAAGGAGAAAAGCAACAGATGGAGCACGTATTTAAACAAATAATAAAGGAGAACTTCCCCAATCTGGCAAAGGGAACAGTCTTCCAAGAAACCCAAGAAGCTCAGAGAGCCCCAAAGAAGTTGGACCCAAGAAGAAACACACCAAGGCACATCATAATTACATTAGCCAGGGTAAAAACGAAGGAGAGAATCCTAGAAGCAGCAAGAGATAAGGGGACAGTAACCTACAAAGGAGTTCCCATCAGACTGTCAGCTGATTTCTCCAAAGAGACCTTACAGGCAAGAAGGGGCTGGAAAGAAATATCCCAAGTCATGAAAGACAAGGACCTACATCCCAGATTGCTCTATCCAGCAAAGCTCTCATTTAGAATGGAAGGGAAGATAAAGTGCTTTTCAGATAAGGTCAAGTTAAAGGAGTTCATCATCACCAAGCCCTTATTTTATGAAATGCTAAAGGGACTTATCTAAGGAAAGAAGATAAAGAAAAAGCATGTATAGTAGAAGGACAGCAAACTCACAATTATTAACAACCACGCCTAAAGCAAAACCAAAAGAAACTAAGTAAACAACTAGAACAGGAACAGAACCACAGAAATGGAGGGCACATGGAGGGCTAGCAGCAGGGGGGGGTGGGAGGAGGAGAGGGGGGAAAAGGTATAGAGAATAAGTAGCATAGAATGTAGGTTGAAAATAGATAGGGGGAGGGCAAGAATAGTATGGGAAATGTAGAAGCTAAAGAACTCACAAGAATGACACATGGACATGAACTAAAGGGAGGGAACGTGAGTGGGAGGGGGGTACAGGGTGGAGGGGAGTGAAGAGGGGAAATGGGACAACTGTAATAGCATAATCAATAAAATACATTAAAAAAATTCTTTCTCTTAAGACTACTTTCTCCAGCAAAAAGGAGAAAAAAATGAATTTTTAAATAAAGCTGAATGATAAGCTCTAATGGCATAACCACACTAAAACCTAATGAAGGTGACAAGTTTACATAGTACCAACTTAGAATCTTATGTCAGATCAGATGACCTAAGAAATTCTTTCATGGATTCTATTTTCCTTCCCACAATGGATACAATTGATGCATACTAATACAGTGGCTTTAAATACCACAGGGATGGTAGAGGATGGGGGAGCTTTAACATAATGGCTTGCAAAGGTTTTTCAGCCTACACATTCCTGCAGCCCAGGACAGGGATAAGAAAGTGGGGTGGGAGAAGGATCTGTGAATCTTGCAAGTTTCCCTAAGTGACCCTGATATGTAGGTCCATTCAAGTAAATGGTTCTGTGACAGAAGGATACAGGGAGATTTAATAAAACACTTATAAAATTAGTTCTAATCAAGTGAAGAGAGAAAGCCTGTTACTAAAAAAAATATGTGCTAGTAAAACAAAAAGAAATTCTCTCCTAGTTCACAATGAGATACTCTGAAGAAATTATCTAAAAATGATACCTATTCCTTAAAACATTAAGAGAAATACAAGCTTACCTATAATTAATTACAGTTCAAGAACAACAGTAATGGAGCCACGGGGTAGACTAAGATTTGGAGTAAAGTCAAGGGAAAAGACAACAAAGCAGGTACAGCAAAATGGCACACTGTACTATTACAGTTTCAGACCCCTCCCCCCACACACACACCCACCTCTCCCCCCCAACACACATATAATCTTTACAAAATCAGAAGCTGGGGAGTCGGATCTGGCAAGATAAGGAGAGAACCAATGGATCACAATGTTCCTGGAGAAAATCAAATATACACATACATCCTTCTTTGTTTCTTAAAGTTTCATAAATGAAGCAGGTCACATTTCTTAAATATAAGAAAGCAAGTAACAGGAAGTGCTGGCAAATTCTAGAGCTTAAATATCTTTTCGATTTTTAATAAAGAGTATTTTTTCTTTTTTTGTGTGTGACTACCGTTTTTTCTATCACTCCTGAATTTCCAGTTTGTGCATTCTCTCTCGAGATCCTTATTATAGATGGCTTTGACCATGCATATTTTTTTACTTTTCTTCACTATCCTATAGCTGAGATACTGTCTTATTTAACATCATCTCCTCCGAGATGAGTATTCTAAGGTTTTCTCTAAATGAAGTATAAAATTTCCATTGTTGTTTATTTCTGCATAGTTGTCCAAGTTCCAAAAGTTCCATAACTGACAGTGAGAGGTAATTGAGCCAAATACCAAACTAGGTTTTGAAATTATGTATTTATGGCAGAAAATGAAAGATTTTGCTAAACTGTTGAAATCATTATTAAATTTGTACTCTTTACCAAACATAGGGAATCCAACTCTATTTTAATCATTTCTTTCACAATTATTTTAAAGGAAAATTGTGTGCTTTTGCTGCTATCCCTTGTTTGTTCATATCTATAAATTTTCAGGGCACATGTAAAATGCTAATCATATAAATTAGCTTTTTATCTCAGAAGGGATGCATATAATTCAGGCCATCGAAGGATAAGCAAAATCTCCTCTCCTATGGAGAAGTGAACAAACTATGCCAAAGTATTTTACTCATAAGGAAGTTTTCTTGCTCTGCCACCTGACTGTGTTCCCAATTCCATTAGTAAAATCCATATGAAATATTAGAGCATGATATAGATATTGACAGTGATAACAGAAGTTAAAAAATGTTTCCAGCAACCTAGCAGCACAGATTATATATTTCTATGTTCCTTTATGATTTCATGGTTTAATTGTATTAACTATATAATTATATTTTTTAAAATATATTTTATAATTATGCTTACAGTTGTCCCATTTTTTTCTCCTCTACATTCCCATCCGCCCTGTACCCCCACTCCCAAAATCATTCCCCCACCTTAGTTCATGTTCATGTGTCATACATTTAAGTTCTTTAGCTTCTCCATTTCCCCTACTATTCTTACCCTCCCCGTCTATTTTGTACCCACCATTTAAGCTACTTACTCTCTGTACCTTTTCCCCCATTCTCCCTCCTCCCTCTCCCTGCAGATAACCCTCCATGTGATCTCTATTTCTGTGAATCTGTTTCTGTTCTAGTTTTTGCTTAGTTCATTTTTTTTTTTAAGTTGAGTTGTTGATAGCTGTGAGTTGTCATTTTGCTGTTGGTATTTTTTATCTTCTTTTTCTTAGATAAGCCCCTTTAACATTTCATATAATAAGGGTTTGGTGATGATGAACTCCTTTAACTTGACCTTATCTGGGAAACACTTTATTTGCCCTTCCATTCTAAATGATGGCTTTGCTGGACAGATGTAGAATGTAGGTCCTTGCCTTTCATCACTTTGAATACTTCTTTCCAGCCCATTCTTGCCTGTAAGGTTTCTTTTGAGAAATCAGCTGACAGTCTTAAGGGAACTCCTTTGTAGGTAACTCCTTCCTTTTCTCTTGCTGCTTTTAGGATTCTCTCCTTATCTGTAATCCTGGGTTATGATGTGCCTGGGTGTGTGCCTCCTTGGGTCCAACTTTTTTGGGACTCTCTGAGCTTCTTGGACTTTCTGGAAGTCTTTTTCCTTTGCCAGGTTAGGGAAATTCTCCTTCATTATGTTTTCAAATAAGTTTTCAATTTCTTGCTCTTCCTCTTCTTTTTCTGGTACCCCTATGATTTGGATGTTGGATCGTTTAAAGTTGTCCCAGAGGTTCCTAAGCCTCTCCTAGTTATTCTGAATTATTCTTTCTGCATTCTGTTCAGGTTGAATGTTTATTTCTTCCTTCTGTTCCAAACTGTTGATCTGAGTCCCAGTTTCCTTCCCTTCACTGTTGGTTCCCTGTGCATTTCGCTTTATTTCCCTTTTTCCTCTATTTTATGACCATATTCCACCATTTCTGTGAGCATCCTGATTACCAGTGTTTTGAATTGTGCATCTAATAGGCTGGTTATCTCTTCATTGCTTAGTTGTATTTTTTTCTGGAGCTCTGATCTTGTTCTTTCATTTGGACCATATTATTATTTTTTTTTTTGTCTACACAGTAAAGGGCTACATAGTAAAGGGCTATGTCTTAGGTATTTGCCAGGGCAGGGCAACCCATGTGGCAGCATTGTGGAGCTGTATGTGGGAGAGGGGTCCGAGAGGGAACAATGCTGCTTGCGCGACTCTTGGTCAGCTTTCAGTCACGTCCCCTACTACCCACAAGCAAATTGGGCCCTTTTGGTGCTGATTCCCGGGTGGGTGATTTTGTGTACATTTTAGGACCCTGTGGGTCTCTCCAAAGAACTCTCCTGTGAGGCTGGGAGTTTTGCCTGCTGCCTCAACCCCTACAGGTTTTTTTCAGTCAGAGGTTTTGAGACTTTATTCCCCGTGCTGGAACCCTGGATTGTGCGGTGTCTTGTTCCCCAGTTGTTCCTCTTGGTTTACCCGCATGTACATGTGGGAATGCCTGCTCTGCCAGCCACCACCTTGCTGCCCATCTCTGCCCCTCCTACCGGTCTGGATGAGTGTTTCTTCTTTAACTCCTTGGTTGTTGGACTTCCATGCAATTTGATTTTCTGGCAGTTCTGGTTATTTTTTGTTTTAAAATTGGTTGTTGGCCTTCTTTGCATTGTGTGAGGAGGCAAAGTGTATGTACCTACACCTCTATCATCCAGAGCATTTTTTCAAAAGCTGAGAATATGTTTGTTAGAAATAAGGCCAATAACTACAAACTCCATGGAGGTTGATAACTTTTCCACTGTTTTTTTTTCTTTTTTCTTTTTTAAATTTATTTATTTTCCATTACCATTTATCCCCTGTACCCTCTTTCACCTCCACCCACTCTCCTCCCCTTGACCCACTCATTTTTTTCCATTTATTTTTTTTTCATTTTTTAATACATTTTATTGATTATGCTATTACAGTTGTCCCATTTCCCCCTTCACTGCCCTCCACCCTGTACGCCCTCTCCCACCCACGTTCCCCCCCTTTAGTTCATGTCCATGTGTCATTCTTGTGAGTTCTTTAGCTTCTACATTTCCCATACTATTCTTGCCCTCCCCCTATCTATTTTCAACCTACATTCTATGCTACTTATTCTCTATACCTTTTCCCCCCTCTCCTCCTCCCACCCCCCCTGCTGCTAGCCCTCCATGTGCCCTCCATTTCTGTGGTTCTGTTCCTGTTCTAGTTGTTTACTTAGTTTCTTTTGGTTTTGCTTTAGGTGTGGTTGTTAATAATTGTGAGTTTGCTGTCCTTTTACTATACATGTCTTTTCTTTATCTTCTTTCCTTAGATAAGTCCCTTTAGCATTTCATAAAATAAGGGCTTGGTGATGATGAACTCCTTTAACTTGACCTTATCTGAAAAGCACTTTATCTTCCCTTCCATTCTAAATGAGAGCTTTGCTGGATAGAGCAATCTGGGATGTAGGTCCTTGTCTTTCATGACTTGGGATATTTCTTTCCAGCCCCTTCTTGCCTGTAAGGTCTCTTTGGAGAAATCAGCTGACAGTCTGATGGGAACTCCTTTGTAGGTTACTGTCCCCTTATCTCTTGCTGCTTCTAGGATTCTCTCCTTTGTTTTTACCCTGGCTAATGTAATTATGATGTGCCTTGGTGTGTTTCTTCTTGGGTCCAACTTCTTTGGGGCTCTCTGAGCTTCTTGGGTTTCTTGGAAGACTGTTCCCTTTGCCAGATTGGGGAAGTTCTCCTTTATCATTTGTTCAAAAAACGTTTGCACTTGTTCCTCCTCCCCTTCTGGTACCCCTATAATTCGGATGTTGGAACGTTTAAACGTGTCCTGGATGCTCTTAAGTTTTTCCTCGATTTTTTGAATTTTTATTTCATCATGCTTTCCTGCTTGGTTGATTCTATCTTCCTTCTGGTCCACTGTATTGTTTTGAGACTCAGATTCCTTCCTTTCACTATTGGCTCTCCTCCGCGTATCTTCCTGCATCTCTTTTATGGTAACCTGCATCCTTTCATCTAAATTGCGCCCAAAGTCAACCAATTCCGTGAGCTTTCTGATCATCAGTGTTTTGAAGTGTGCATCTGATAGGTTGGCTATTTCTTGGTTGCTCAAAAGGATGAGTCCTCGGGGACTGATCTGTTCTGCTGGAAACATGTCTTGTCTTTCCCTGTCTCTCCTATTTATTTATTTATTTATTTATTTATTTATTTATTTATTTATTTATTTTCCGGTCTGGTCGCTCTTGTTACAGTGGGGGGCGGAGCCTTAGTTGTGCACCGGGGCTGGGCACCCCAGTCGCTAGATTGTGACATTATATGTGGGGGCGGGGGTGGGATCAGGGACGGGTAGGAACAATGGCGGCAGTTCGGTTCTCCTGGGCTCAGACACTTCCCTGGGATCCTGGGCTGCGAGCTCAGCCCTGGTCCACAATCGCCGCCTCACTGGGTCCGCCAGCCGCAGCTTGCATACTCAGGGATCACTGCTGCGTTCTTGCGCCCCGATGGCTGTCATGCTGATTTTGCGCCAAATTTCCCCTGACCTCCGCGCGCCGCCAACCCTCGCCAGCCCCGCGCCCTCCCGGCTCGTCGTCCCCTACCAGTCTGGATGTACGGGTCTACTTCAACTTATTGGCTGTCCGACTTCCATTCAGATAAATCCTCTGACAGTTCTGAGTGAAATTATATTTGTAAATTATTGTTGTTCTATTCTTGGTTGTGCGAGGAGGTACGGTGCGTCCACCTATTCCTCCATCTTGCCGGAAGTCCCCTTTTCCACTGTTCTAGTAGATAATGCTGCACTATATCAGATTACTTTTATTCAATAGAAATATAGATAACATTTTACTGAGTTTATAGCCATTTTATACTATGTAATGCTTTTAAGAGAAATAAAATCCAATAAACTGCATAGAAATTATGTGGTATAATTTTTTTATAGATTTTACTTATTTATTTTTTTAGAGAGAGGGGAAGGGAAGGAGAAAGAGAGGGAGAGAAATATCAATGTATGGTTGCCTCTCGCACGTCCCCACAGGGGACCTGGCCTGCAACCCAGACATGTTCCCTGACTAGAAATCCAATCGGTGACCTTTTGGTTCACAGCTCGCGCTCAATCCACTGAGCTAAACCAGTCAGGGCTATATACTATAAATTTTTTAAAAAATAAAAATTATTTTCAGAAATAATAGTTAAATTTAAGTGTTCATTAGATACCAGGCCAATACCTCTGTGAGATGGATTCTATTACAATCTTTGTTTTAGAAATGGGTAGGTAAGTTTTAGAAAGTTTTAGAAAGTGACTTTAGCCATTGTCACACACCCGAAAAGGGCAGAGACATGATTCAAACTGGGATGGTCTAACCCCAAGCACAATCTCTTTATAATCATGATAAGCCATTTTAACAATTTATACAATGAATCTTCCCTCATTCATGTAGCATTCATTTGGTAAACAGAAAATTCTGGTTATGTTTTTATATGAGGAGAAAATACACAGTGTAGGTGGAAAAGTAGAGGCAAGAAAGAGTAGCAAGGACGCTCCAAAATTTTCTAAGCAAGAGATGAATGAAAGTGAAAAGAATAGGAAAATGCAGTGAAACCTGACTCACCAACAGATTAGAAGCAGGGGTGAGAAAAAGAATGGCATCAAGAACAAAGTCTAGGTCTCAGCAAGGAGGAAGGTGAAGCAATGAGGAAGGTGAAGATGGCATTGTTACTGAAATGAAGGAACATGTTTTATTCTTGTCTTTCTTGGTGGGGGCCAGGCAGGCATCAGGAGCTTTCTTCTGAACATGTTAACTTTGAGACACCTAAGTGGAGATGTAGAGTGGGCAGCTGAGTATTCAAGCCTGGGGCTCAACCGAGATGCCAGGGCTGGAGATACAAATGTGGAGTCATTTATATATAACTCCCTAGAAGAGAACATAAATACAGAAGAAAAGGGGGCCCAACACTAAGACTTGGGGTACTCTAACATTTATTTTGGGTCAAAAAACAGAGACTAGAGAAAGAAGTAGGTGTGCCACAGAAGCCAAAAGAAGGGAGTGTTTCAAGAAGCAGGCTGTAATGAATGCCTCTGAAAGCTCTTGTACGATAAAGACAGAGGAATGAGTACTAGACACAGCCATGAGGCTGTCGGTAACCACAGAACAGTTTCAACAGAGGAGAGGATAAGAAATGCCACTGAGACAGAGGTTAGAAACGTTACTGGAGTGCATGGGGAAAAGAATGGGAGATGGGGGAGTAAAGAGTGAATGAATATAGATGACTTTTTTGATCAGTTTTGTTGGGCATGAGGAATAGAAAAATGAGTAAGGAAGTTTATTTATTTGGGAAATGCTAGAAGATAAGTGTTAAGTAGAAATGATTCCAAATGTCAATACAAACAATTTAGAATTTTAAAAACTTTCTCACGTGGAAGTAATATTTAATTTCCTATTTTTGAAGATTTACATACACTAGAGGCAATTCCTTTAAGTTTTTCATGATAGGCATTTTATCTTACAGACAACATATAAATTACTGTAAAGCAGACAATATCCGTAAAGTTCTTACCTCTCTTGTTTGATGCTCGTTGACAGGCTGGAATCGAGGTACAACCTTAAGCTGCTGTTCCAGTTTCTGTATTTCCTGTTGGAATACATCTCTCTCATGTTCTCTGTCAATGGCTTGCTCCTGAAATTTAAGAATAATGGTAATTGAAGAAACAATATTTATCGAGGAAATTGTTTCCCTCACATTCCTTTGGTGATAGGTACAGTTTTGTTTGAAGACAAACAACAGATGATGACAGAATACTCCAAGCCAAAAGGTTTAAAAAGATAACATTTTTTGCAAGGTATGTAGCCTACATGGGCTCTTCAACAAAAATTTAAGCATTTAAATATTATTTGAAGCATATTTCTTTTTTATTAGAGTAATGTTAAATTCTCTCTAAAGTGAATTTACTTTTTTTGAACAAAGGAGGAATTATACTGTTAATTATTAAACAAAACAAATGGAAGAAATTGGTTAGTAAATCAATTTCTTTTACCCTAATCTAGGTTTTACACCTAAAATTACATAATGTGTAAGGATCTGATTCTCTGATCTGCGAAGAGAACTTCAGGCTTAAATGAAACCCCAAAGAAGAAAATCAACATGAAATTAGACATGTGACATCTTTTTGGAAGGAAGTAATGACAGCATGCTAACAGTTCCAGTCCCCTGGAAACAGGAACATTGTTACCTGTATGTGTATCTTTTGTGGGTGAAACAATGGCAGCTAATTTGCTGTTAGATCCTCACCTGCTAGGGCTACTGGTTAAAGGAAATACTAGGATAACTTCTTAACTATGAATCTGGAAAGGCTAACTGGTAGGGCTCTTCATAATCTGCCTATACTGTTTTTAATTCTGACTGTTGATTCTAATAATTATTGTAATTTTAATTGAAATAATTCATCATTTCAATTAATTAGTAAAGATACATATAGATGAAAATACAGAATTCATGACTCTTTTCATAATTTAAAACTCATAACCTAGAATAGCAACAGGCAACATTCCACTGACAAAAATTAATATTTAAGTTGAGAATACTTACATCTAAAAATTTTCTCATTTTTTCTAACTGCTTTTCCAGTGCTTGGTTTTGCTGTCTTAAATCCATTAGTTCAGCATTTTTTTCTTGTTCCAGCTCTATAAACCTACTGACTTGTTCCTCAACATCTATTTCTAAAGCTTTCACTTGTTTTTGAAGGTCATCACGTACTTTTTCAGCTTGACACTGTACTTCTAGTTTTTCCTTCATTAGTTTTTCTGTCTCCTGTAGTAATTCTGTTTGAAATGCAAAAATATACTGTTAAATCACAGTGACATTATGACAGTGAAATCACCCATAACTATGTTTAAATTTTACCTAATGATATAAAGATCAGTTTTATTTCAAACACATGTAGAAAAAAAATCTTATGAAAATGACAAAATAACATTCCATCTTAGTAGACAATAAAATTATACAGAATTGTCAAAAAAAATGTCCTATCACTGAAAACAGTACTTTTTGTGAAAACAGCACAGCAAATGGCCAAAAAAAACCCCCCAAAACAAAAACCACCCCATTTTTACTTTAAGGAAAAGAACAAAGTCTAATTAAATTCAAGTATAGGAGTAACTCACCTCAGGCAAAAATCAATTCATTCTAAATTCATAAAGTCACTTTTATATGCATACACAATACATAAGAAGATCAAATATTGTGAATCTTTAACCAAGGCAAGTAAGAGTTACAGGAAAATACAACTGCAATCAGAATTTCCTGTTAGTATTATGCCTTATTAGATCCATATTCCTGAGTTAGTCTTGTACTCACATGTGTATGTAGCAAGGGAAACTGACAAGCAAAAAAGGCAGTGTGGTGTAGTGCTTTAGAGCAGAGACTGTGGGTTCAAATCCTAGCTCTGCCACTTATCTACTATGTGACATGGAACATGATATGCTTTGTTTTCCTTATACGTAAACTGGGAATAGTAATACTAACCGATCTCCAAAAGTTACTGCGGGATCAAATAAGTTAATATATGTACAGGATAGTGCCTAGGGTGTTGTAAACACTATGTAACTGTTAGCTATTATCATTAATATTAATCATACAACAATAAAGTATACATGGTAAAGTAAAACAATCCACTAATACAGAAAATAGGAGAAACAAAACCCTAGAGTTTTTATACTAACTGGTCTGCTAACACTGTACTCGGGACTAGGAATATCGGAAGTAGCATTTCTTTTAAAACAATACTGATTTAGATGTTAATATAAAAGTAAATCAACTAGAAAGTCTTCTTATGAAATTTCACTGCTTCCGTTGATACCATCATGTTATATATTTCCTGATTTAGAAACAGCACTGTGAAAAGTTAGTCTGTAAGAGTTTAATATATTTGTTAAAGTAAAAATGTTTAATAAACCAAATTTTATAACAAAAAATCTAAATGATATTAAGCACTGGAAAAACAGATATAAGATGATGGGCACTACGAATCTTAGTTGTTGATTTCAAATATAAATATGTATTTTTACTGTAAGAAAGGTTTTGTTAAAGAGAAAGGTTAGTATAAAACACAACCGCACAATCAGAGCTATGCTAGTTGGAAGAAAAGTCCAAGGGTCACCCAAAGGCGGGCCATGCAATCGTATGAACACACCTGATCCAGGTGCTGCATCGACTGCAGCATCTACTAGTCCTATAAGAATAGAAAAAACAAAACAAAAACAAAGACATACACAACAGAAATGTAATTTACATGTCTTCTGTTTCCTAAATAGGATAATATACACACACTAAAGAATTTAAGTAAAAGTTGAAACTACTGAATATTACCACCAGTAATATTTTGAGATGTACCAGTGCTTCTTGAATATTTTACATACATGACCCATATACTTTCCACATTAAAAATTCCAACTCCAAACCTGTGTTGAACAAATCTGAATTAGCTGGAAACAAATTACATACATTACAAAAAATGTATGTTGTATTTCTAAACTGATAAGATTCAAATGGTAAAACCACACACAATTCCCACAGCCTGTGAACTATAAAAGTGAGAGGATATGAAAGATGGCTTTACAGTTCCATTATTACAAAAACTGACATGTATGTTTTTATGACTAAACACACTTTACTTCAACACAGTACCTAATAGGAATTAGGAAGGAAAGATTAAAGGTTATTGGCAAACTCATATATTCTTTGAACTCCTACTCAGATTATACTAGATGTCAGTCGGCTTTGAACAGCCATTGAGCTTCTCAAGCTATTCTCCTGCAGGCCAAAGCCCAGCCCCCACCTGCTGGGTTTTGTGCCAGATCAGTGTCTTAGTTATTTAACCCTAGTATATATTTTTGCTGCCTATCTGCTATTACAAGAACTAAAGCTTACACAATTTAAAAAAATATCCTGCCTCATTATATGCAGCTTTCTCTTGAGACAGAGGTTTAAAGAAAAATGAAGAATTAACTTTTCCTGTTAAAGTTTGTCAAAAGAAAAAGAAAAAAATCCTGATTATACATAGTTGGCTAATAAGACATTTACCAATAAGGTAGATTTTCTTGTAACTTTTTTAATCCCTATATGAAATACATAAATAATAGCACTGAAAGGGGGAAAAAGCCCACCTTGAACTTTTAAGGACTGTTTCATACAAAGTCTAAAAATACATACGCTGTTCCACAGGGCCCGCCTCTGCTTTCATAGCCTCCTGCTGCCTGGACAGTAATTCTCTCTCTTCTTGGATCTGCTGTTGCTCTGCCTCTAATTCTTGTAATCTATTACTTGCACATAACAACTCCTGCTCAAGGCGATCTATTATATCAGCTTTTTCCTGAATCTGCCTTTCAAAAAAAGTTTTTTCATCTGCATAGCCATCAATGACACCTATAAGATAAAATTAACAGGGACTGGGATTATTATTTACTTCAAATTGTACCATTAGGTTTTATATAAACAAGGAAAGGGGTTACTGCTAGCAAAGTAAATCATTCCAAGCTATTAAAAGTCCTGCATGAATTTGCTGCTGCTGCTAACAACTATAGTATGCTCAATGCATTATTTTTCTTGTTAACCATTATGTCTAAATATGCAATTCCTCTGAACTTTCTATTACTTTGCTATGCTAACATATCACATTATGTGGGATTAACTCGCTTTATTAAACAGATATAAATAGATAGGTTCCTGGGAAGCTTAATATAAATCAGATGCTTGTGAACTGAATCACATGTTAAATATACCAGAGAAAGTTGATATTTTAAGTGATTCTGGAAGGACAACACCCACAACAGTACCGTACAATGTAAACAGCATGGGACTTTACAGGCTTAATGCCTGGCATCATCATGTATATGGGCGACCCTCAGAAATTACTAATGCCTCTTAGCTTCAGTTTCTTCATCTTTAGATTACAAGAGCTGTTTTAGGATGGTGGGATTATGGTAACAACCTACCATCATCCACTTCTAAAATTTTTTATACTTTCTATAATTCTATTAAGTACTTTCTATAATTAAAAATATACATAGTTTTAAAAAATCACTTGGGAGTAATTTAAAGACAAATTACAACTACTTTCAATGTTCATTCTTCGTTAGAGTAGATTAGTGGTTTCCAAACCTGGCTTGCATTAAAATCTCTATATTTAGAGTTGAAATCTCCCTACCCTCAGTTGCCAATGGCAAGTTGCTCACCCTCAGCCTTACTGAGCTCCACAGCCAGCTGTTCTCTGGCCCTGGACTCCTCCACAAGGCGCTCTCGCAGCTCCTCTTGGCACTTAAAGGACTCCGTCGCTTCTTGTTTCTGTCTAAATGACTCACGCATCAACTCTGTCTGTGTAACTTTTGCGTGTTCGAGCTAAACAAGGAGGGAAAGTATACATAAAGGAAGACAGTGTTAGGAATACCAGTGTCATTTCCCATTAAAGCTTCCAAATTTTTTAAAAAGTAAAAATAAAGGCATACTGTTGAACTGTAGTCATTCAATATTTCTAGTACATGCTAACATTATTAGAGGTGTAAGTCAGCAGACAAGCAGATTAGCTGTGTACAACTTTCCATAAAAGATGTATTCTAGTTTTAGTAAGCAAAAAAGAAAAAAAAGAAATTGCTTCTCTTGGAAATAAACCACTTTATATCACCAGATCTGTTTTCTACTGTATAAAGGGGATATAAAAATTAGTAAGACATAGGTTCTTTTTGTATTTGTTAAAGAATTTTACTTAACTATGTATTCTATGATAAACGATTTCTTTTATATTTACACTTATTTATTAACTGTGACTCCTCCTGCACACTTTGAGGAACTGATGTGATTAATACAATGATATCAATGAACAAAATCACAGGGCTAAACAAAATGAAATTATGTTTATTACCCATGTTTTAAATGAAACCATGTATTTCTATCCATTTGTGAAATATCTACAAGACTCTATATGAATATTCAGTTTATTTTCAAAACCTTAGAACACAGAAGCATTATCCATAAACACAAGCCTCCTTAAAATGCTGTCACCGGCACATACTGATTACATTAGAAAACAATTAAGACAACAATATGATACTCAAGTATTGTACAGACTCAAGGCCTAAGCTCTCAAAAAACAGTGATCATTGTTACCAGCTGCATGAAATTACAGAAAAGCACTGTCTCTGGCTTAGTTTTCAGGGCTGCTGACTGCTATCTGTTTTTATTGAAACAACTACATGGGAAAAAATACTGAGCTCAAAGTGAGTACTTAGTCCTAGATAATTAACACCATTAAAATTTTTTTTATAGCAATCACCATATACATTTATAACAGACTCACAGCATCATAAGAATTTGTAAATTTATATATAAAGTACTAGTATATTAAAAAATATTACTATGCTTTAAGCTTAAGATATGAATCATATGTAGTAATTTCTGATTTATAGTCAGATATCAATAATGTATTATAAAATTATAATATTTAAGAATATTTTATTTTTAAAGACCCCTGCTCTTCATATCTGAGTGGTATCTGCTACAGCAAACCGGTTTTACAGTAACTAAATAAAGCTTTTTATGGCCACTCTAAATTAATTTCTAGTATATCTACTAAGCAGTTATTCTATTTAAGATTCATAATGGAAAATTAAGCATACATTTTAAATAAAAGTATTTCTTAAAATATTACCACAATATAGATAAAATTATATATTTTTACTTTAGACTGGCAAAAGAGTCTTTTCCTTTAACTGTGGATAAATAATATAATTAACTTTTATTATAAAGAAATATTATCATAAAGTATGAACTGATTTTTATAACTACACTCCTGAATTTATAGCCACAGCCTATATTTTAAAAATGTATCAATTATTTCTATATATATGTTACTTTTTTCTGTACATTATAAACTACTTGCCTAGTAAATGCATGAACTCACTAAGAGTTCAAAGCTCTAACTAAAAAGATTTTGAGTCTTTTTCCTTTTTCAAATTTACTGTACAAGTACAACAGAGCACTTACTACAAAAATATTTTTAGATAAGAAAATTAAGTCTTTGCTTCTATATTCTACTTCTTGACAGGACCTAAGTCAGCCTCAAAGTGCATTTAAATGTTTGCCACAAAACCACAAGGAATAACTTCATTTTCCAGAACAAAACAAAAAATTGCAAGAATCAAATACAGTAAAAAAATTCAGCCAATAAATTTCGTCATCACAGCAGACAGTGTCTGCACTTCACTGGAATAAGAAATTCCCTTCCAATATTCATCTAAACACTTTATATTAAAAAAAAATCTTTTTAACCCAGTTGAAGTATGATTTACTTTTAATACCTATATAATGCCTAATCTTTACTAAATATTAAATATATAAAATTTTCATATTCAACATTTTCAAATATTTTAAGAAACCTATCATTTTATTAAAAGTATGTAGAAAGCATCAGGAAATATTCTGTCACTTTAATATAAAAGTTTCAGGGGCAGTAACAAAACTGTTCTGAAAACCATCTGGCTCGTTAAATATTAGCTAGTATATTATAGTTAAAGCCATTAAAGTCATAAAAAGTGCTGAGTAACTTTTACTGAGTAGTTATACTGAATAACTTGTAGTAAATCATTCACAACATATTTCAGTCAAATGATCCTGAAATACCAACCTATGTTAAATACTTGTATCCTGAACAATGTTTACAAAAATACATTTCACATGAAAAGCAAAAAAAAGTTATTTCCTCACAGGATTAGTTGGCATATTAAAAACACTGAAAATAAGTTCTTTAAGGAATTAGCCAGAAAATTAAAATTAGAATCCGGGTCTCCTTTTTCCTTGTCTGGAACAACAGCCAATATGCCGTATGATTGTAAACATTTCCTAATTGGCTCAGTGACAATTCGCTTAGCTATTTTAGGTTTCACGATGCCTATTTCCTCAAATATATTCATTCCATTTTTACTCAGGATTGACATCATGAACATATAAAAGCAAGAGTCTTTAGGACAAGTAGGATCTTTTTAAACAGCTTGTCTGGCATGGAAGAACGTAATATTATCTTATTCTACTTTCTGGAATTAAAAATTTAGTCAAGTTGGGACTCTGAGACCAAAACGCAGCCCTTCAATACATCCAGGATGAATGAGTAGTAGTAACACACCAAACAACAAAACAAGACACTATTCCATTTACCCCTAAAAACACTTAAACTTCATTTCTCATTATACACTGTGTTTTTTAAAAAGAAAATGTATTTAAATTAAGTAAAAACTAAAAGTATAAAAAAAACAAAAAAAATTTATACTTACTGAATAAGGAGGGCTAGGCAGTGAAATTTTAGAAATAAGCTTTAAAATGTGCCCATTTCTTTTGTGAATAAAATGAAAAATAGAAGTATTAATAATCACTGAGTTACTTTCATCCAAACGTTCACACAGAGGAAATGGATGTGGTAAAGGCACACGAGATTCAACCTCATAAATGTCTTCATCTTGTTCTTCCAACCATGAGCCACTGAGTTTGACAGTTGCCAAATAGGTCCTGTAAGAATCCATTCTAGGAGATGCAGCTGCCAATTTTCCTCATTTACTTTATCAATTTTCCATTCCATTAAAAATCCTTTTTAAGTTTATCAAGATATACCAGACCAGTAAGAAAACAACTTGTTAGCACGATCCAGTACAAATTATAAAACTGATTCATAAAAAGCTGAACAAAAGAAAAACCCCACAAAATCTAAAAAATACAAAAAACAAGAACTAGATCTTTCAGTTTTCATCAAAAAAAAAAGAAAAACAATAAAAAACAAAAGTGAAAGCAAGGAAACACCTTTTTACCTATAGTAATTAACTAAATCCTCTAAAAATGGAAGAATAAAAAATATAAATATCTAGTTGGCTGAGCAATAAAACTGCTTTCAGTATCAAATATGTCTGTCGAAATAAGAAACCCTTTCAAGCTGAACCTGGCAGGGAAGGTCAAGTTTTAAATCTCCACAGTAGCAGTCTTGAGCAATGTAGATGCAATATTATTTCCCTTGTTCTTGCAGCTTCACTCAATTCAACAGTAAAAACCTCTTCTGAACTGAGCTATTCAAATAGCCTCTCACACTGAACCAAGGGATTCTAGTCAGTGTCTCCTGAGGAAAAGGTCAGAACAGAGGGTGTGGTTTAATGTTTTTACCTATAGGTACTCTGACAGGTGGAATGTGAATTAATACGCCCACAGAAAAGCCTGCCTAACAGGATCCAAGCTTCACATCAGAGCTTTGAAAAGGGTATTTAGACAAGTTTATAATGCTTCTAAGATAAGCTACTGTTTTTCCATCCCATTAAATTTTTTTAACTTAAAAATGTGAAATCAAGTATTGTAGTTTTGAATCCATATTACTATTTAATTCTTATGAAACTATATGAAGTAATCATGATTTTTTTGCAGACTAAGTTAGTGCTTCTTTTTGGTATTTCCTTAGAAATAATACTCATTCTTTTAAGCAGTTACTAGAATACAGAGTAGGCAAAAGTAGGTTTACAATTGTGACTACCCCAGAGTTTATTCTTATATTATTATTATTTTCCATACAAACAACTATAAACCTACTTTTGCCCCACCCTGTATAGACAGTCCAGTTATAATCTATTTCCACAATGAATTGTTTATAAAGTTTATAATTGTTTAAATTGTTTATTAAAAAAACCCCTCTTTTGAAAAGCTGCACTGTATATAACAGGTGGTAATTGTATCACTTAGGGTATATTATGAACTGACTAAAACTTAAAAGTACAAGTTGTGGATCATAGCCTTCTTGTAGCTCCAGAAACTTGGGCAATAGTGAATGATCTGGCCACTCAAAATTTAAAAAGATGAACAATTTACTTTTTAACATTAAGAGATCCTGAAAAGTACAAGTTGTTTTAAACGAATGAAAAAGCTTTTATTGTGACACCTTTTCTCTATCTAGTAATTAAATATCCTAAATCCACAAAACCTTGATCTATAATGAAAAAACCCATACGAAAGCAAGGAGGTTTTACTAACAAAACTCCATTCTATAACCACTTTCACTACACAAAATTGTTAGAGGAGCTAATACTCAAGGCCAATAATAATTAGGAGAGAGAAAACGAGATTTTCTACAGAAAGCCCAAAATCTACAGGCAGATGGTTTGTGGTGAGGAAGGGGCAGCTGTCTCTTACAATTCTGGATTAGGCAATGACAAATTTTTGTTTATTATTATGACTTCTCATGTGAGCCCTCCCGTTAGTCTGTGAAGGTGGAGGCCTAATCTTACCACTGATGCAGGTGCATTTGATATTACTACGGCTTCAACAGATACAAAACCATCAGCATTCTAGCTGCCCAGCTTTATGAACTGGCAGGACCC